GGGGGCAGAAGAGTCTAGGACGCCGCGCGGCAAGTCAGAACTGATTATCATTTCTCGGTGGTAAGGTGGCAAGCTCGGCTTGCAAAAGCATTCTGACCTGAAGAAGTATGGTAAGAAAAAGGTAATAGCAAATTTAGTATTTATCATTCACACCGTATCGATGTTCTCTTTGTTGGTAACCATCCGCGTGGGTGCACCTTGGGTGGGAGCTTCGATTCTTTTTTTTCTTTTCTCTTTTTTTTTGTAATTGAAAGCATACACCGATGAGACAAGTGCATACTAACAAAAACAGTCGTAACTGCGCGTGAGGGGCAGGGCCTTCTGCCCCAGATGGGCTTCTAAGGAGGGTGATGAATCATGCGTGGGTTGGTCCAAATTGTCTTAAAGGACCTGACCCACGTCAGCTTCTTATCTCCAGCTGTCTTAATCCGGTCCAGCAGCTTTTGCTCTTCCGCCATCCACCGTTGTAATTTGTCCTTATGACCAGCTCTCTTCCTTTTTCGACACGTCACGTCCCTCGCCTTGATGTACAGTAAATCCTCACATGCAGCCTGAACGCGAAAATAATCCGCCTCAGCACTCGGCGCGTTCTGAACTTCTTCCCCCGGAAAGCCGCGTCACATCGCTCCAACCAAAGCTGATGTAACGAGATGGCAATCAATGTCGCTTCCGGGAAGGCTGAGCTGGATCCCGCCTTCTGGAACAACAGGTCCCCCAGATCGGACACTGTGCGCTGTGGATTGATCAACCGCAGTGCACGCTTCAGAGCCGATACCACCGACTGGATTTTAGGGCAGGTGAAAAGGCAGCGCTCCAGTGTCTCCTCCTCGGAGCAGTGCGGACAGGAAGGCTTGCTGCTGAGAAACGCCAGCCTTTCTCCAACTTGAAGATTGAAATTATGGATTCGGGTAAGCATCTCTCTTGGTCTGCTAGGTGTGACGAGGGACTCTCTGATGCCCGTCGCTCTGTTCCAGTCAATTCGCCCCCGCCAACGTTCCGCCCACTTCAGCCTTCTGTGCGACTGCAGCTTTTCCCCCTTCCAGAAGCTCTTCATCTTTGCAAGGGGGATTACCTTCCCATCCTCGAACAAGGGGACTTGCGGAAGCTTTTGAGCTGCTGTAGGCACCGAGCCAGCCGAGCACTCGCCGGGGGTCAGCAGAGTCTCCTTCCATTCTGTTGGGGCCATCTCGAGAGCTTTCAGCGCCAGCCTAGCCGGACCTTTGTCCCCCAGCTCCTCTGTCAGCTCCTCCATGGATTTTTTCGCCCAGCTTCCATCAGGTAACTGCTTCACCAGATCACCCAGCCGGGTCTCCCACAACGCCTTCGCGTGTTTCTGTCCTCCCACCGGCGCGACCACTCCGACTAGAATTTTCCTGTTGAAAACCAGCCTCTCTTGCCCCACCGCCTCTCTTGTAAGTGGCACCGTCCGTTCACTAAGGGGCGACTTCATGAAAGCTTCACATGTTTGTTTCCAGCGCTGACTCCTCCCTTCCCAATTCTTCAGGAGCTTGTCGTGCGATGTGAAGGTGTCAAGCCCAAGCGGAAGATCCGCTGCCTTCAGCATCAGCTCCCGTTTGAGCTCATCAGTTTCCGTCATCAGCAGCCCCACTCTTCTGGCCGATAAACACGCCAACAGGACGTTGGGATCCTGAACTCCAAGGCCTCCTCCTTTCCGCGGCGTGTAGAGCAGCTCCTTGCTCCACAACACAAAGTCCTTTGCTGGGGTAGCTTTATTCCCAGAGACAAAATTGTGCAGAAGCCTCTCCGTCTCGGCCCATATTTCCTCAGGGGGAGGATACACCTGCGCTTGAAAAGCGATCATTGGCGAGATGTAGCAATTTGACACCGCCGTCCGCGCTTTTTCTGTGAGGTATTTTTGCCACCAACCCGTCAGCTTCCTTGTTACTCCCCCAAGAGTCTTTTCCCATGTTGGCAGGCAACTGCCGTCCGGCGTGACCCACATTCCCAAGAGGCGTTCTGCATCCTTCGGCCCGTCCCATTTGAAGGAACCCTCTGACGGCATGCCCAGGTTCGCTCCCAACGGCAACACCACCGATTTCTCTTTGTTGGTTGCCAGCCCGGATTTTCTCTCAAACTCCTCTAACACCTCCTCGGCCTCCTTGATCTGCTGCTTTCCCTCCAGGATCAGGGTGGTGTCGTCAGCATACCCCAGGTATGACAAGCGTTTCCCTGATGCAGTGTCGCACAACCCCAACTGCTTCCTCTCCACTTCTTGCACCAACGGCTCGACCGCACACAGGAAGAGGTAAGGTGCTAGCGGGCAACCTTGCCTCACACCCGATTCCACGTCAATCCCTCCTCCCAGCCATCCGTTGATTAACATCCGCGTCGTCGTCTGTGCGTGCAGCCCTTCAATCCAGCCAACGAAACGGTCTGGGAGGCTCATCTTCCTCAGGACTTGGAAGATGAAACTCCTTGAGACCGAGTCGAACGCCTTTTGAAAGTCAACAAGCAGCAGATGCCAGTCCTTGTTTCCATTTTTCGCCGCATCAATGATATCGGCAACCAGAGCAACCGCGTCAGTGAGCTTGCGTCCGGGTATGAAGCCATATTGCTCAGGTGAGATCACGTTGTGCAGCACCTTTTTCAATCTGTCCGCCAGCACTTTCGCCAGAATTTTGTAGGTGAAATTGAGCAGAGTAATAGGATGGTAGTTTCCCAGCTGATTCTTGTCCCCCTTCTTGTGTAGAAGAATTGTCACCGCCCCTTTCGTTTCAGCGGGAAGCTTTGCAGTCGCAGTGAAGTCCTTGACCAGCGACATGAAACTTCCCCCCAGCAGATCCCAGTTGTTTTCAAAAAGCTCCTTCGGTAACCTGTCCAGCCCCTGCGATTTGTTTTTCGCCATATCTTTGAAAGCCGCTTTGACTTCTTCCTCTGTCCAATCCGCTTCCAGCCCCCCAGCTTCCACACTACCAAGGTAACGTTCCGGTATTGGGGACCAATCACTGAAGTCTGTTCTTCGATCCGCTCCGAAATTCGCCCTGAAGAAGTCTGAGGCCGCCGAGAGAATACGTTTTGAGTCAGCGACCGGACCTCCCGTGACATTCAGTTCCAGAATCTGCGTGCGGATTCTCCTCGCCTTCAACTTCCTCGAAAGCTGTTTCCCGGAAATCTCCCCCGACATTTCCGCATCCAGGCCCGCCATCAGGTGACGCCGATCTCTTCTCGTCGCCTGATACTCTTTAAGTTGCCCTTCTTTTTCGTCCAGCAGCGCCTTCCTCCGGTCACAATTGGGATTACCCAGCACCTCCTGCCGGAGCCTTTCCACAGATCCCCTCAGGTGAGCGAAAGTCGCGCGGACACGCTTCCGCTCTTCCCTTGCGTAAGCCCTGAGACCTGCGTTGAGCCTGGCGATGAGAAGCACATAGCTGGCTCCGTCTGTTACCATTGTACCTTGCAGTGTCTGTTCTATTACCCGTCGCACCCCAGGTCTGTTCATCAGTGATGCATGAAGTCTCCAGATACCTGGACCTGTATGAACCTTGGCGTCTACCCTGATGGCTACCTGAATCGCGAAGAGGTGATCAGAGACACGCTCGGCAGGTGAGACATGCGAGACGTCGTCCAAGAAAGGAAGTAGTGAGAGAGATACCAGTGCTCTGTCTATTCTAGAACTGGCTTTCTGTGCGTGCGAGTAGAAGGTGAATTCTAGTCTGCGGGGGTAAAGAGTTCTAAAGGCGTCTGAAATCTGGAAGGAGCCACATCTACTTAGAAGTCTGTCGTTATCCTTCGCATGACCGCAACCTGAGGTTCTGTCTAAAGCCGGGTCTTCTATCATGTTCAAGTCTCCTATCAGCAACAGGTGCGCGGTTGGGTCAACCTGGTCTATCATGGGGCCAAGATCATTGGCTACGAAGGCATTCCTCGCGCCTATATCCGGGGGAAGGTAAACCGCGAATAAGGTAAACTGAATACCAGGGCCGTTGACCTCGGATCTAATGATTCTACCTGTTGGATGTGAGTAGGTGTTAAGAAAGGTGAGAGCGGGGTTGCGGCTAAGGACAGCGACACCACCGGCTTTGGCTAATGGAGAGGTGGCTGCTACCGTAGAGAACTGTGGTGAAGACCAGTAAGTGTGAGAGGAGCTTAGCCTGGTGTCTACTAGGATAACGATACCGTCTGCGTCACTGATCCAGTCAGTTACACGTTCTTGCTTCGCGCTGTCTCCCAGGCCGTTAACATTGAGACACGCGCAGGTGAGAATGTTGTTCTTGTTACTAATTTGCACTCCACCCCTATTCTCGCCACAATGCCCATCGCCCACCCAGATTCTAAGGGTGTGTCAGATCCTTCGAAACCTGTTTTGGCTGGTATTTTGTCGACCATTTGGTCGTCAATTTCTTTTCGCGAACGTCAACGCATTGGTCGAATTTTTGTCGACAAATTACAGCTGTGTTTGCAAATCTGACACATTTGGTGGCCGATTTGCAGGCCGCTTATCAAATGTGTCAGATTTGTTGGCCGGATTGCTGCGACGGTGTCGCAGATTTCGCGGCGATACAATTTGCGATGATATTAGTGGCTGGCGTAAATATTTTACGTCGCAGGATTACTGTTGCATTGCCAAGTCGACATCTTGGCCGAATTCGAATCGACTATACGTCGGATTGATGTCGACTTTTTGAAACGGCCATCAAAATTACGAAAAGTGGCCGGATTATGCGAGCTCGTCGAAAATGTTTGCGACTTTCGCACCCGTGTTACTTTCGCCAAAATCGGCCAGTCGGATTAGGCCGACTTCGGATCTGACACACCCTAATTCACTCCACACCTTGCCCATACATGTATCAACTTCACTTCAGCTGTCAAGACGCGATCATCTATTTTCGGAACGACTTCTGGTGATCGCCATCTCCTCGCGGCAGCACCTGCGACAACGGTTAGGCATTAAGGCTGTTTCGTGTTTCTGCACAGGCTCGCAGGACGTGCGATAGAGACCTATTCATCGTTTCACCGGCTAGCAGCGTAGCACGGTCCGGATGGAGATCGACCCCGTGGTGGAGGGACATTCAGGTATCTCTCTTGGAATTCGCGAATTTGACGCGCTTTCCCCGTTTGCACGATCTAACTGCTAGCGCAATCTCGCTGTAATCAAGATCTCTCTGTTAGCACGATATCTTTTAGCGCATTTCTTCGGCGATTCGACCCCTCTGTTAGCGTGTCCGCGGGATTAAGTTCAGCTGGCCTGATCACGGCATTTCCCCACATCATCGCTAGTAAATTAGTCTTTTTAACCACCGAATTCTCCGCCAGATTCATTACACGGTGCCTCATTCGCCAACCACCCCCCTTACTCCCACACCTACCATCCCTGCTCCTCCCCGCAGCGTCGTCGGATGACTGGCGGCGCGCGTTGGCGCGGGTGGTGCCGGCGGTGGTGGTGCTGCGCGTGACGGTGGTGCGCGCGTTCGACACGGAGTCCGCCAATTCCAGCTACGCCACCGGCTTCATCGTCGACCGCCGCCGCGGCATCATCCTCACCAACCGCCATGTCGTCAAACCCGGTCCGCGCGCCTCGTTTTCCTCCTTGCATCCTGCTCCCTGCTAGCTGTCGCCTCATTACCCGCATCGTTCTCTCGCTCCCGCATCCCCCCTCCTCTGAGATCCGCGCGTCCCGCCTCCCAAACGGCCCGTTCCGCCTTCCCGCGCGCATCCCCCCGCTCTTCCGCGCATCCTCCCCCCCCCCCCCGCACGCGTCCGCCAGGCCCGGTGGTGGCGGAGGCGATGTTTCTGAACCGCGAGGAGGTGCCTGTGCACCCGATCTACCGCGACCCCGTGCACGACTTCGGCTTCTTCCACTTCGACCCCGCCGCCGTTCAATTCCTCGACTACCAAGACATCCCGCTCGCGCCCGAGGCCGCCGCCGTGGGTCTCGAGATCCGCGTCGTGGGCAACGACAGCGGCGAGAAGGTTTCTATTCTCGCCGGGACCATCGCGCGGCTGGATCGCGACGCGCCTGTGTACAAAAAGGACGGGTATAATGATTTTAACACGTTTTATTTGCAAGCCGCGTCGGGCACCAAGGGCGGCTCGAGCGGGTCGCCCGTGATCGACTCGCGCGGATGCGCCGTGGCGCTGAATGCGGGCAGCAAGTCGTCGAGCGCGAGCGCGTTCTTCCTTCCGCTGGACCGCGTGGTGCGCGCGCTGGGCGCCATCCAGGCGTGCTTCGCGGAGAAGGAGGGCGGCGGGTTCGTCGTGCACAAGTGGCGCCCGCCCGTCGTCACCCGCGGCACCCTGCAGGTGCGTGGGCGCGCAGCAGGTGGGGGGAGGAGGGGGTTGGAGGGGGAAGGGAAACGGACGGGTAGAGCGGGGGGGAGTGAGCGGGTCTTGTGCTGCGGCGTTCTGTTTGGGGCTTGTTCAGAGAGGTCTTAACAACACTAGAACACTTCTTATACTTGAATGTAGCACTTCCTGCTCCTCCCCAAGCGTGGCCCCTCACTCCACCTCCGACTCCCTTTCCCCTCTCCCCTGCGCCCTCTACCCTCCTGCCCTCCCCTCCCATCCCTCCCTTTTTCCCACCACGACACCAGGTGACGTTAATTCACAAGGGGTTTGACGAGACGCGCCGGCTGGGGCTGAGGCGAGAGACGGAGGCGGAGGTGAGGCGCGAGGCGGGGGCGGCGGAGACGGGGCTGCTGGTGGTGGACTCGCTCGTGCCGGGCGGCCCTGCTGAAGGCAGACTGGAGCCCGGCGACATCCTCGTGCGCGTCAATGGCAAGGTGAGCAGCGAGCCTCGCTTCTTCCTTCCTCCTCTCTCTTGCTTCCTTCTCTTGGTCGTCACATCCTCTCTCAATATTTCTCTCAAGTAAAGTCCTTATCGTCCCCCCCATCATCCCCATGTCCCCCTTCATCACCTCTCACCACGTTCTCTCCACACCTCCTGACCCCCCCTCCACCCCCCCTCCCCACTTCCTCGCAGGTGCTCACGCAGTTCCTCGCACTGGAAGCCATTCTCGACGATGCTGTGGGCGGCACCGTAACTCTCGACGTGGAGCGAGGCGGCACCCCCCTCTCCCTCGCCCTCACAGTGCACGACCTGCACGCCGTCACGCCCAACCGCTTCCTCGAGCTCTCAGGGGGCGTGCTGCACGCGCTCTCCTACCAGCAGGCGCGCAACTTCCGCTTCCCTTGTGGCCTCGTCTACGTCGCCGAGCCCGGCTACATGCTCTCGCGCGCCGGCGTCCCCCGCTTTGCCATCATTCAGAAGCTCGCAGACCAGGACGTGCCGGACTTGGACTCGTTCATAAGGGTGTTTGCGCGGTTGGAGGCGGGGGCGAGGGTGCCGATAGAGTATGTGACGCATGCAGAGAGGCACCGGCCCAAGTCGGTGCTGCTGCTGGTGGACCGGCACGCGTGGTATGCACCCCCCCAGATGTACTGTAGGGATGACTCCACTGGGCTCTGGCGCATCGCCTCCGCGCTCCCCCCTCCGCCTGCTGCTGCGGCTGCTGGTGGTGATGCCGCTGCTGGCGCTGCTGCTGATGGTGCTGCTGCGGATGGTGATGGTACAGCCAAGAAGGAGGAGGGGGGGTTGAAAAAGGGAGGTAGGAACGTAGAAGAGCAGCAGAGAGGGGAGAAGCGGGCGAGAGGGGAGGAGGAGGGCGAAGGGGAAGGAAGCAAGAAGCTCAAAGCAGATGAGACAGTGGTGGGGGATGGGAACGAGCCTGCTGCTGCTGCTGTGGATGGATCAGAGGCATCAGCCAAGCCAGCTGGCACGAGCTCATTGGTGGAGAGTGCACTGGAGCCCGCGTTTGTCATGATGGAGGTGGGTGGGTGCAGCGCCCTCGCCTTGCCACATCCTGTTCCCCCTCTTATCCGTTCCTGCCTCTGCTGTGTAGCTCTGCCCCACTTTCTCTCTCTTTCCCACTCCCCATCCCCCTCTTCCCCATCTTCTCTTCCCTCCCCATCCCCTCCTCTCGCCATCCCTCCCTCCCCAATTTCGTCGTCACTCGTTCTTGTTCCCCCTCACCCAGGTGCACGTGCCATCGTCAGTGATGGTGGACGGGGTGCACGCGCAGCATTTCTTCGGCACGGCGCTCGTGGTGCACCACACGCCGCAGCTCGGCCTCATCGTGGTGGACCGCAACACCGTCGCTGTCTCCGTCTCTGACATCATGCTCTCCTTCTCCGCCTACCCCGTTGAGGTCCCCGGGGAGGTGAGCGCCTGGCGCCTATCCTCCCTCTCTCCACGTCTATTTGTCTCACTTCTCAAGGCAGCCCGCTGTCTCCGTCTCTGACATCATGCTCTCCTTCTCCGCCTACCCCGTTGAGGTCCCCGGGGAGGTCAGTGTTTGTTGCCCTCCCTCCCGCTTTCCGCTTATCTCTCTCTCCGCTCAAGCAGCGTCTATCTATCCCTGTCTCTGTCCATCTCCCCTCCCTCCCTTCCTCACTCCCTCTCTCTCCCCGACCGACTACACACAAACCCACACCCTGCAAACCCACCTGTACCCCCTCTCCTCTTAGGTGGTGTTCCTGCATCCGGTTCACAACTTTGCCTTTGTAGCCTACGACCCATCAGCGCTTGGAGCAGCAGCAGCAGCGGCAGTGAAACCCGCCACGCTCAAGCCCTCCCCTCCCTTACGCCGCGGCGACCGCGTGCACCTGGTGGGGCTCAGCCGCAGCCAGGCCGTCACGTCCCGGCAATCCGTGGTCACCAACCCCACGGCCACGCTCACTGTGGGCGCCGCTGACTGCCCGCGTTATCGAGCCATTAATATGGACGTCGTGGAGATTGACACCGGTGAGTGCAGTGCGGTGCAATGGGGTGGCAGTATACAGCCCATTCACCCTAATCCACCCATCTATCCCTCCCACGTCATCCCGCCTCATCCACCCATCCACCCATCCACCCATCCACCCCATCCTCTCCTCTAAGAGGCAGGCGTGTCACCTCTAAGGGACAGGCGCCTCTCCTTCGAGAGGCGGGCGCCTCTCCTCTGTCGTCTGAGAGGCGGGCGCCTCTCCTCTGTCCTCTGAGAGGCGGGCGCCTCTCCTCTCTCCTCTGTCCATCCACCCCATCCACCCCATGCATCCCATCCGTCCGTCCACTACTGTGTGTGCATCACAGACTTCGGGCAGTCCTTCTCGGGCGTGCTGTCAGACGACTCGGGCGCCGTGAGAGCCCTCTGGGGCTCCTTCTCCACCTTCGTACGCCCCTGCCCCGCCCCCCGTCCTCCCTCCTTTATTCCCTCCTCTCCTTTTTCCTCGCCTTTCGCTTCTCCCCCTTAGTGCATCGCGTTGCTCTCCCTCTTAGCTGTAAGCTTCCTCAAGTTCTTGGATCTCCCTCCCATTATCAGTCTTTGAACTTGAGGTCTTCATTTCGCTCCTCCTTCCTCCTTCCAAACCTCTCTGCCATCCATGATCCTGTGTTCAAACGAGTGTTGTCTTCCCCTTCCCTATACCCCTTGTATGCTTTCAAATCAACCATGCTCTGTTTTGAATCAGCTCCTCTCCTCCCAAACCATCCCCCCTACCCAGCTGAAGTACGGGGATGGTGGCACGGACGATCTGCAGTTTGTGCGCGGGCTGCCCATCTCCTTCATCTCCTCCGCCCTCCACCAGATCATCCACGCCTCCCCCTCCAAGTCCCTCCGCCCCCTCCCATCCACTGCGCCCACTCCCACACCCGCTCCCACCACTGTTCCCCATGTCGAAAGCAACGGCCAGGCAGGGGAAGCAGGCAAGGGGACAGGAGAGGCAGAGGCGGAGGAATCGGGTGGCAAGAACAGCGAGCAACAGCAGCAGCAGGAGGAGGCGGGGGCGGACAACAGCCTTTTGATGAATGGGCGGCTGTGGGCCATGCCGCGCGTGCGCGTGCTAGAAGCAGAGCTGGCCCCCATGCTGCTGTCCAAAGCACGCAGCTTCGGCCTTTCAGAGCAATGGGTGCATGTGCTGGCTAGTGCTGACCCCGTGAGGCGCCAGGTGCTGCGAGTGAAGGGCACCCTGGCGGGGTCTGCTGTGGCAGGCGTGCTGCAGCAGGGCGACATGCTTCTCGCTGTCAATGGCCGCCCCGTCACGTGCTTCGCTGATGTGGAAGCCGCTTGCTGTGAGCTGGATGCAGGGCTGGCGGCGGGGGATGGGGGGAGCGGCGGGAGAGAGGGCGCCGGGAACGGGCATGTGAGTGAAACAGGGGGCAGGGAGCCTACGGGATCGGCGGCAGCAGGAGCAGAGATGACTGCAGCGAATGGTACAGCGGAGGTTGCAGTAGAGACACCAGGAACTGCAGGTGGGAAGGAGAATGCAGGGAAGGCGGCAGCAGCAGGGGAGTCAGCAGGGGAGGGGGACCGGGCATGCTTGAGTCTGACGATACTGCGGCAGGGCAGGGAGCAGCGGGTGCAGGCGGGCACGGACGTGCGGCACGGGTTCGGCACGACGCGAGTGGTGAACTGGGCGGGGTGCCTCGTGCAGGACCCCCACCCCGCTGTGCGAGCCACCGGCTTCCTGCCCTCGCAGGGCCACGGTGCTTATGTTGCCAGGTGGGGGGTGTGATGTGCGGTGCCTTTACATACGTTCTCGTGAGTCGTGCAGGACCCCGACCCTGCTGTGCGAGCCGCCGGCTTCCTGCCCTCGCAGGGCCACGGTGCTTATGTTGCCACGTGTGCGGGTTGGGGCCGTGGTGTGAGGTGGTTGTTGGGCAAGAAGCGGAGCATTGGAGGGAGAAATAGTAGAGGAGGTTGCTACTGTGTGATGTAATTGATGACAGTGGTCCGGAATGTTCCTCCATCCCTTTCTCACCTCCATTTCCCTCTCCTTCCCACTCCTTGCCTCCCACCGCCCACATTCTCAGGTGGTGCCATGGCAGCCCAGCACACCGCTACGGGCTGTACGCCCTCCATTGGATCGTGGAGATCAACGGCCGACCCGTGCCGGACCTCGATGCTCTGGTTGCCATCAGCCAGGTGAGACCCCATAGGCAGTTGGAGGCGATTATAATAGGTGCTGGTAATTGCAACCCCGCCTCCTCTTCCTCCCTTCTCCTCTCTTCTCTCTTCCACCACTTGGTCCGCTACGTTTCCCATTTCCATCACCATCACTATCCTTTCTCAGCTGCCTCCTCTCCTCCTTCAACGCCCCTCCCAATCCCCCTCCCCTTCCCTCTCTCTGCCTCTCAGGAGTTGGAGCACGGGGCGTTTGTGAGGGTGAAGGTGGTGCATTTGAACGGCAAGCCACGGGTGCTGACGCTCAAGCAGGACCTGCACTACTGGCCCACCTGGGAGCTGCGCTTTGTGCCCAGCACCGGCTCGTGGCAACGCACCATCCACAAAATACAGAAATAGCTGCTAAAGCATCCTGATTTAGCTCGGCGTTCAAAGAATTGCATGGGGTTGGCACATGGTATTCCCAGTAGCTGTGTTTTGTGGGTAGATAGATCAGTTTCCGATTAGCAAGCATCCATCCATACGTGGTAACGATTAGTATGCAAGAATGTCAAAATAGTATTGTTACCATATTCCGGGAAAGAAGTTCCAGTCCAGTGGCTACATGAATCATGTGTAAAATGCTCCCATTCGTTCATTGTGCTAACTAATGTTTATCTTATCTATCATCTCTGCGAATCCACTATCGATGTAAAATGATTCTAGCTTTCCTTCGGCGCTACACCATAAATCCCTACTCCCAGCCTCCACTCTCCAGCCACAGCATTGCTTTGCCCATTCACAACGTGCTCGTTCCTTCGTCACCTCCTCAGTCGCTCGCCCTCGGTCGCCATTTTGTAGAAGCACCTGCGAGCCGCTTCGCCAGGCAGCGCGACGGTTAGTGACGCGCGACGCAGCGAGCGAGAGGCGGCGAGGCAGTTAGCGGGCGAGTGAGTTGCAGAAGCAGCGAGGCTCATAGGCAGCCAAAGAATCCGCGAGTCGGACGCGCAGCGAGCGATGGATCATTCGGGGCGCGCGGCGCACAACGACCCCATTGTGCGCCAGGTCGGCTTCTTCGCGCCCTCCGCCGCACCCCCCGCCGGCCAATCTGCCGCGCCCTCCGCAACCCCCGCCGACGGAGACGGGCTGCCGCCGCTGCCATTCCTCGCGTCCGCGTCGCCGTCGCCGCCTTTCGTGCCGTCAGTCCCGCCGATGCCGTCGCTGCCGATCAACGTGCCGCTGCCGTCGTATCAACGCCCGTCGCCCATCGCGGAGGGCAGCGAGTGCTCCGAAAGTCTCCCGCCCGACGATTCCTACCTATCGTCGTCCGCCACGTCAGCGGCCCCGTCTGGTGCGGTGTTCGGATCCGTGTCTGACGTCAGCGGGCCAATCTTATCTGTTTCTTCCGCTGCTGTCGCTCGCGCGGGTGCGGCGGCGGCGCAGCAGGAAGCGGCGGATGGCGCTAAACCCAGGGGAGGGGAGCAGGCCGGCGCGGGCGCACAAGGGCGGGGGGCGGCCTCCGTGGGTGGAGGGGCGGTCGGAGCGGTGGGGGGGGCAGTGGGCGCGGGGAGGTCACCAGCGAACAGCAGCAGCAGCGCGGGGGGAAGTCCACGTAGCGCGGGGAGTCTTGGCGTGCGGGGCGCCACCAAAACCGCCTCTGCTGTGGTGCCCGCGTCCCTGCCCAGTGCGTGCAGTCACAAGGCTGGCAATGGGGGGAGCCAGTGCGGGAGGCGCAGATGGGGTAGCGCGACATTATGACATGTGGAATAGCCAATCGCAATAGAATCAGCCCTGCCCGCCCTTGCCTCCCCACTGCTCTCCCTCCATCCACCACTCCCCTTCCGCCGGCTTCCCCCACAACCTCTTCTCCCGCTCTCCCCACCACCGCTGCCCTTCCGCCCGCTAAGCAGTGGCGGCGGGCGGGCGGCAAGAGTGCATTTGAGGCGCCTCAAAACTCCTCTCTCCCTCTACTCCCCTCCTCTCCCTCCTCCCTCCCTGGTGCAGCGGTGATGGACGGGAGGGCGGGAGGCAAGAAGCCGACGTCGAAGGAGGAGAGGCGCGCCCTGCAGGAGGCTCAGCGCGCCGCTAAGGCTGCTGCTGGTGGTGGTGCTGGTGGCGGCGGTGGTAAAGGTGAGTGTGGCTCGTCGAGTGCAGACTGCAGCGATAGTGCACGCTACCATGTGTCCACATGCACCTCATGCCATGCCATTCCATGCCTATGCCCATTCTGCCATGCTCCCCATGCCATGCCATGTCATGACCTGCCACCATTCCCTCGCTTCCCTCTGCCTGTACGACTGTGCAGGGGGAAAGGGCGCCGGAGGGGCGGGCGGAGGAGGGGGCAAGGGTGGGAAGGGGAAGGAGGGCGGGCAGCAGGGCGGGGGGAGAAGGGCAAGCGGGGAATCCGCTGCAGTGTCTGCTGCAGGGACGGGGGGAGGGGACGCGGAGGGGGGTGGGCGGAGCAGCAGTGGGAGCGTGGCTGGCGCACAGAAAGGGGGAGGGGGAGGCGGGGGGAAGGGAGGGGGAGGGCGGGGAGGGGAGGACGGGCAGCACAAGTCGAGCTCCCTCCGCGGGGGGTGGCAGCAGCTGATGGCTGACGTGGCAGCAGTGGATTCGTCGCTGCGCGTGGATCTGTTCCGGCACCTGCCGCAGTTTGACCGGGCGGCACAGATCGCTCTGGTGGAGGCGCGCCTGCTGGACGAGGAGGACAGCCCGCTCTCCGTGCACCCCGCTGTCTATGAGGTGCGTGCGTGTAGAGTGAGATGGGGTGGGGTGGGGTGGGGTGGATTGGGTTGGGGTGGGATGAGATTCCTCGCGCACCTCTGCACCCTCCCGTACCAAACATCCTCCTCCACGCGCCGCTCCTTTGCCCAACCGCCAGGTGGGGATGCGGTTCCTACAGCAGGAGCAGCGCCTGCAGGGCGGCAACGAGCGGTGCCTGGCCATGCTGCACGCCCTCCGCCGCCTATTCCTCGACCACCGCGTGCCCGACGCCCGCCCGCCCATCCGCGACCTCACAGCGCGCCTCAACGCGCACGTCGCCTTCCTCATCGCCTGCCGCCCGCTCTCCGTGGGCATGGGCAACGCGGTGCGCGCGCTGAAGCAGTGCCTCACGCGCATGGGCGCCGACCCCGGCGTGCAGGAGGGGGCGGCGCGGGCGGCGGTGGTGGCGGAGATCGATCGGTTTGTGGCGGAGAAGCTGGTGTTCGCGGGGCAGGAGGTGGTGCGCCACGCTGCTGGGAAGATCCGCAGGGAGGGCGATGTCATTCTCACCTTTGGATGGTCTGAACTCGTGCTGGAGGTGAGGAGTGGTGAAGGGTGGTGAGGAGCGGTGAGGAACGGTGTTGGTTTTTCATTGGTTGGCTTCCTTCTTCCCTCTCGTCTTGCTCTCTCCTTTATGTCCCAATGTCTTCCTTTCCTCTCCTACTTTCCTCTCCTACTTTCCTCTCCCCGCCCCCCCAGGTGCTGCTGTCGGCAGCGCGGGCAGGGCACAGGTTCAGAGCCATTGTGGTGGACTCGCGGCCGCACCTGGAGGGCAAGGAGATGGTGCGCCGCCTGCTCGCGGGCGGCATCTCTTGTCTCTATCTGCGGCTCAACGCGGCATCGTACATCATGAAGGTGGGGCAGCGGCAGGAAGGCAGAGAGGGTGTTGATATTACGAATGCGTCTAGACTCTCATTGCTCAGCAGGGTATGGCCAAGTGTTGTTCATTCCCCACTCTACTCGTCCATCCCTCTTCCTCCTCACCCTCTCTTCTCGCTTCTCCCAACCTCTCCCCACCGTCCCATCAGGATGTGACACGTGTGTTCCTGGGGGCGGCAGCAGTACTAGCGAACGGAGCAGCGTATGCGAGGGTGGGGACGGCAGCGGTGGCGATGATGGCGCATGCACAGCGTGTGCCGGTGCTGGTGTGCTGCGAGTCCAGCAAGTTCCATGAGCGCGTGCAACTCGACTCCATCACCCACAACGAGATCGGTGCGCTCACTTGTGTTTGACTCGCGTTGACTTGCATGCACATGCGTTGACTCCATATCATCTGCAATACGGTGCGTCATATCATCTGCCCCTTCCCCCACGTCTCAGCCCATGAACCCCTTTTGTAATCATGTACTTCCCTTAAACCACCCCCCAACAGGCGATCCAGAAGTGCTCATCAGCATCAGCACGGGCGTGTCACCGCTCTCTCCAACCTCACCGCTGCCATCGGACGCATCAGATGCATCAGAGGCCGCGGACGCGCCACCGCTGCAGCACTGGCAGACCACGCCCAACCTGCGCCCCCTCAACATCCAGTACCGTCTCACTGCCTACCCACGCACTGCCTCACCCTCTCGCGGCCCCTCGCCCACACGTCCTCTTGACACACTCCTTCCTCTCATTCTCATCACAATCCCCTCATCACAATCCCCTCATCACAATCCCCTCATCACAATCCCCTCATCACAATCCCCTCATCACAATCCCCTCATCACAATCCCCTCATCACAATCCCCTCATCACAATCCCCTCATCACAATCCCCTCATCACAATCCCCTCATCACAATCCCCTCATCACAATCCCCTCATCACAATCCCCTCATCACAATCCCCTCATCACAATCCCCTCATCACAATCCCCTCATCACAATCCCCTCATCACAATCCCTTGGGCCTTGCCGCCTCCAATGCATCCTGCCGCCTTCTCCTTTCACATTTTTCAACATTTGCATGTTTGCTCCTTGTTTTGCATCTGTCCATACATGTGTGAGCTAGCGTGTATTTTTTTGGCATGTGTGCCTCCTTGCATGTGTGCTTGCATGGTTGCGGTGCATCGGGTGTGTGGGTGTGTGGGTGCGGGCATGAGCAGGTTTGATCTCACACCAGCAGACTACATCACGGGCATTGTCACTGAGATTGGCGTGGTGAGATGCACCTTCACCATGCCCCATGCCCCATGCCCCATGCCACATGCCATGCGCCATGCCCCATGCCACATGCACATTTACATGGACATGCCACATACGGTACCATCCAATGCACCCATCCTTGCATCCATCTCCTAATCACCAGCCTTGTCTCCCCCATGCATGCCACCTCCCCATGCATGCCACCTCCCCATGCATGCCACCTCCCCATGCATGCCACCTCCCCATGCATGCCACCTCCCCATACATGCCACCTCCCCATGCATGCCACCTCCCCATGCATGCCACCTCCCCATGCATGCCACCTCCCCATGCATGCCATCTCCCCATACATGCCACCTCCCCATACATGCCACCTCCCCATGCATGCCACCTCCCCATGCATGCCACCTCCCCATGCATGCCACCTCCCCATACATGCCACCTCCCCATGCATGCCACCTCCCCATACATGCCACCTCCCCATACATGCCACCTCCCCATACATGCCACCTCCCCATACATGCCACCTCCCCATACATGCCACCTCCCCATACATGCCACCTCCCCATACATGCCACCTCCCCATGCATGCCACCTCCCCATACATGTCACCTCCCCATACATGCCACCTCCCCATACATGCCACCTCCCCATACATGCCACCTCCCCATACATGCCACCTCCCCATACATGCCACCTCCCCATGCATGCCACCTCCCCATGTGCGTGCCTGCCTACCAGGTGCCCACATCCAGCGTCCCTGTCATCCTGCGAGAGTGTCGCAACCAGCCCTTCTAGGTGCTACCCACCACGCACGGTAGCAGTTGAGTTGGCCTTATTGACAAGCTTCCATGACTGGTATCTTACTGGTATTGCAACGCACTGCTTTGCCCAGAGACTGCAAACGTCTGTGCAGAGGGCTGAGCATATGCGTGCTTGCAAGGTTAGCAGTCATAAAAGAGTATGCCGATTCTACCATTGTACTTTTTCCTTATACGAAAGATTTTTCAATATCAACGAGTCTTCCAAAGCATCAATGGAGGTGCTACCATACTGCAAATACAATCTAAAGAGAAAAACTATATAGCGTTCTGCTAAAGTAAACCTGCTGTAACCGTCATACAGTCCTGTAGGGTCACCACGAGGTTGCTGTCGTTTCTCGCCTGTCGCTGACGGCTATCCGCTTTCGGAAAGCACCAGCTTTTCGTCGCCTCCGAGTAACCTGGGATCTAATCGCTCTAAAATAACGTCGCTCATGGCGTCGCTGTTGTCGTACGGAGCCGGCATCTTAGCCGGCGACATCGGCGCGAATCTCGAGGCGACGCTGGGTGTGCCGGGCCCTCTGGCCGGCTGGAGCCACGTCAACCTGCCGGCGGAAGGCGACGACGAGCCTCGTCCCGCGGAGGGGGATTTTCTCAGCCTCGTCACGCGCGAGGACGATGACGTGGACGGTGCTGACGCGGACATGCTCGACGGAGACGGCGTGTCGCGCAGGCCAGTTCGGCAACTTCTAGGAGTCGATTCTCCGTCCGGGAGTCCCGGAAGCGCGTCGGTCCATCTCCCGCAGACCGTCCTCCAGGTCATTGCCACGTCACTAGAAGCTGACGTGGTCGTCATGGCGGTGCTCTTGCCTCCGCCAGGCCCCACAGTCGCGGATATGGCGCAGGCGGCGGACGAAGCCGCGGCTGCTGCAGGCGCTCCCCCCGCCCCTGCGCCTCTCTTCCCCGGCGCTGCTTTCTCCCCCGTTGCGCCCGGCTTCGGCGCGCACTCCCTTGGCGCTGACGCCAGCGCGGACAGGTCCGGGGAGTTTCGCGCATGCACCAGTAGCGGAGGGGATGCTAGCGGGTACGGGGAAAGCGGAGGGTTCTGCAGCCGCGAGGGCACGGGGAGGAGCAGCGGAGCGGGATTCCGCGACGGCGGAAGAGGCGGGGAAGAGGGCGCAGGGAGATGCGACAGCCGAGAGGAGGGAGGCGGAAGGGGAGGGGGGAGGGGGAGCGGGAGGGGGAGCGGGGGGGAAAAGGAGGTGGTGCGGGTGGCGGAGTCCATCCTATCGACGCCCAAGGGGGTCGTGCCGGAGATGGTTCCCTTCTGCAGGCGAATGATGAAGGCGTGCAAGCGACACAAGGTAATGATGAAGGCGTGCAAGCGACACAAGGTAATGATGAAGGCGTGCAAGCGACACAAGGTAATGATGAAGGCGTGCAAGCGACACAAGGTAATGATGAAGGCGTGCAAGCGACACAAGGTAATCATGCTTCCCGTGCCCCACCCCCTGCGTCCATTCTTTCCCCCGTAGCCCCTTCTGTCCCCGTTGCGCTCATTCCACCACCCTCTTCCATTGCCTTCCCCATGCGTCCATCTCTCCCCTCCCCCGCTTCCCAGGTGGTGAGCACGGCGGGGCTGCACCTGCCAGCGATCATCGAGGATGTGCTGGGATGCCGTCCCCGCCGCTTCATGGGCCGATTCGTACGCCTGCACAGGTGCGTGCATGCATGGGTAACTACCGCTGGGCTGCACATGTGAGTGCGGCGCATTGGCCCATGTGAGTGCGTCGCATTGGCCCATGTGAGTGCGTCGCACTGGCCCATGTGAGTGCGTCGCATTGGCCCATGTGAGTGCGTCGCATTGGCCCATGTCACAAAAGTCCATTGTCGGGAGCCTCCCTTGCTGGCCTTTGTACCCTCACTCCCTGTGCGCTCCCCTGCACTCCTGCTTCCATGCCCGCATGCCCTCCATAGCACGAACCACTTCGTGCTCTCGCCTGCCCCCGCCGCACTGCTTTCCCCACCCCACGCTGTCTTGCACTTCCCTTCACCTCCCTCCCTCCCTGGCCCCTTCTTCTCGCCTCGCCCCCTCTCCCCCCTCTCACCTCTTTCTTTCCCCCCCAAGCAGCTACCACGGGGTGCTGTACGCGCTGTGGAGCGACCCCACCAAGGTGCCGGCGACAGTGGAGGAGGTGATGGGGCGGGCGGCGCACACGATGCCGCTGCTCATGGCCAACCGCATCTCTGCCCGCCAGTCAGCACGCCTGGGGCAGCAGTTTGACGCCATCCTCAAGCGCATGCCGCAAGCTGTGGTGTTTGTTGACGATGAGCTCGCACAGGTGGGTGGGTGGTTCAGCCGCGTACCACTTGGGCTCAGTGGAGGCACTGAGAGGGCGTCCGTGTGGCCCGTGCCTTGTGCTGATGCTCATGCTCGTGCTTCCCTCCACCACCCCTCCATCCCTCCTCCCTTCCACCACCCCTCTCACCCCGTCCCTCCAGGTGGTGGTGAATCCAGCAGCGGCAGATATGCTGGATCTGCCGTGCTTCAGGGAGGTGGACCCTATGAAGACTTTAGAGACGACTTTTGAGGTACTTCAAAAGACTTTCCTCCACTGCCCCTTCCCTCCTGCCTGTCGCCCCTCCCCCCTTCCCCCTCGTCCCTACCAGGTGGTGGTGAACCCAGCAGCGGCCGACCTGCTGGATCTGCCGTGCTTCGGGGAGGTGGACCCCGTGAAGGTCGCAACTGCCATGCGCCAGCTGGCCGAGAGGAGCGGTAACCGCCCCGACCTGCACAGGCGAGTCACGTCACGTCGCCGCACTCACCCTCCCCTTCTCTCCTTTTGGACTGGAGAACATCTGCTCGCAAACCATCGGATCCCTCCCTCCTTGTGCTGCAAGTTAAGCGAATTTAACCAGCCCCTTGCTTACCCACCCCTTCCCCCTCACCCCCTCCCTCCGTCTCCCCACCCCCTTCTCCTCCTCCCCCACAGGTGGTTCAGCATGGTAGCGGGGGCAGTAGAGACGGAGATAGAGGAGGAGTGGGAGCTGCGGGATCCGCCCATGGTGCTGCGAGTGCATTCGTACCCCGTGGCAGCGCACACCACCTCGGCGCACGGCCGCCTGTGGCTCTTTGAGGACGTCACTGCCGACCGCCGCGCCCGCCAGGCCATTGCCGCTGCCAACCGCGCCAAGTCACAGTTCCTCGCCACCATGAGCCATGAGCTGCGCACTCCCATGACTGGTGGGTGTGTGGTGTGTAGAAGTGAGTGGGAGGTTGGATGGGTGGGAATGAGCGCGTGGAATGGGAGGGTGTGGGTGTGCAGGATGGTGTGGGAGTGTGTTCGTGTCCTGCCGACCGTGCCAAGTCGCAGTTCCTTCCTACTATGAGCCACGAGCTCAGGACGCCCATGACTGGTGGGTGGTAGTTGTCGTTGAGTGGATGGTTGGGTGGGTGGGAATGACTGTGTGTGCGTCAGAGTCACTGGGTTGGTGTGGTGGTATACGTTGCTGTCATTCTCGTTTGCTTCCCGCCAACCCATAACGCCACGCCTGCTCTTCTCCCCCCCCCCTCCCCCCTCACCCCGGACTCCCACCCTACCACCCCAGGCGTGCTGGGCATGTTGGATCTGCTGCGGCTGACGGAGATGAGTGAGGAGCAGCATGGGGTGCTCAAGCTCATGCAGGCGTCAGCGGATGGGCTCATGACGGTGCTCAACAACATCCTCGACTTCTGCAAGATGGAGGCGGGCAGGCTGCTGCTCGAATCTATTGACTTTAGCATCGCCGCCCTGCTGGACCAGGTACGTGCCTGCTGGACCAGGTAGGTGCCTGCTGGACCAGGTAGGTGCTGGACCAAGTGTGTGCTGATGGTTGAGGCATCTCATAAGCAGTCAGGTGCCATATTTGAGAAGCAGGCAGCAGAGGGCAAGGATCTGTATCTCACCTTCTCCCCTCTTCCTTCCCATGCATGCAGGTGGTGGTGCTGTTCGAGCAAGCAGTGCACGACAAGGGCATGAGTCTGGTCATCCACCCACCGCCCCCCGACGCTCTCTATGTCTGTGGCGACCCCGTGCGCGTCAAGCAGGTGGGTTGGGCGGGCAGGTGGGGGCTGCTAGCGAGGTGACTTTTGAGGCGCCTCAAAAGCCGCCCCCAGATGCGCTCTTCGTCTGTGACGACCCCGTGCGCATCAAGCAGGTCGGTTGGCCGGGCACGTGAAGGCTGCTAGCGAGGTGAGGTAAATGAAGGGAACAGCAAAGCTCATGATTTGTTGCAGCCAGCATAGCATGCTCGTGTCCGTTTCTGCATCCGTGCATGATTGCAAGAACTTGCTGCTTATTTCACCTCTCCTGTGCATTGCATCAAGCCCATCCGCTCCTTACTCCTCAATGTTTCCGCTCCCTCCCCTCCGCCCCTCTCCGCCCTCTTCCCCCTCCCTCCCTCCCCGCCCACGCCCACGCACACGCACACGGCAGGTGGTGGCGAATCTGGTGAGCAACGCGGTGAAGTTCTCCAAGCGCGGAACCATCACCGTCTCCTGGCGCATTGTGCCCGACCCCTCTGCCTCTGACCCCTCTGACTCTGACCCCTCTGCCTCTGACCCTTCTGCCTCTGGTTACAACGATGGAGACAGTGCGGAGCAGGAATGCACAGAGAGTAGGGAGGTGGACGCGGAGACAGGGGAAGAGGGGCAGAAGGGGGAGGAGCGAGAGGGGCAGGAGGGGGAGGAGGGAGAGGGGCAGGAGGGGACTCAGGAGTTGGAGGAGGAGGGGGAAGGCAGGAGCCCAATGGAGTCGGGGAGTCGCTCGATACAGTCACACTCTCACTCGCTTGCTGCGTCGCTGTCTGTTCGGGCAGACGATAGCACTGTTGCTGCAGACACACCAGAGACTGCGGAGGCAGCAGAGGCAGGAGGGGCAGGAGGGGCAGCAGCGACTGCAGCGGCAGCAGGGGCAGTAGAGGCTGGGGGGGCATCGGGGGCAGCAGGGGCGCTGATCTCCCCTGGCAGCACCAGTGGCGTAGAGGGGAAAGGGGCGGACGGGGGAAGATGGGGGGAGAGCAAGCGGGGGCGGATGTGGGGGAGGGGGAAGAGAGGGCGGGGGGAAAGCAGGGAGGGGTCTAGCGAGGGGGCCAGGCAGGGTCGCAAGCAGGCAGCGAGTGGAGGGTGGGGGGGGGCAGGCGGGCAGGGAGTGCGAGTGCCGCGAAGCGTGTCTGCAGGGCAGGAAGGAAACGTCTCCTCTGGGCCCTCAGCGCAGCGCCAAGGCACTTCATCCGCTGGCTTCCCCTCCAGCCCCGTGCGCAGCAGCAGCGGACAAGTGGGGCCAGCAGCAGCAGGGCAGGAGCAGCCGCGGCTGCTGGCAAGGCGGCTGTCAGCAGACCTCACTCACCGCACGCGGGTCAGCCGCTTGCAGGGCGCCTCTGGGGGCTCTGGCTCTGCTGACCTCACCCGCGTGTTGCAACCCGCACCTCGCTCCGCCCCTTGCTCTGCTCTGCACTCTGCGCCCTCCCTCCCGCCGAGCCTCGCCTCCCTCCCCCCGCAGCTCTCCTCCCTGTCCGCGCCCTACCTGGCCAGCTTTGAGTCAGCGTCAGCAGCAGGTAGTGTCCTGCCAAGAGGGCCTTCTGCTGCTCCTGCTGCGGCTGCTGCTGCGGCTGCTGCTGCTGCTGGGGGCGCTACAGGTGGAGCGCTGTTCTCTGCTAATGCTGCTGGCAGTGCGGCTGGAGGGCGCTTGACAACTGGTCAGGAGACGAAGGGGCCTGCAGGCTCGGCGATGGATGCAGGCTTGGGGATGGGTGCAGGATCGGCGCGGAGCCTGAGTAAGGGGGGGAGCTTGGGGCAGAGTGCGAGTTGGGGCAGTGGAAGCGGGGCGGGAGGGCGGATGGAGTGGATGGGTGAGTGCGATGGGGGAGCGTTGAGCACGCGGGGAATGGGAGGGGGAGGCACGGGGGAAGTTGGAGCAGGAGTGGGACAGGGAGAAGATGCAGGAGTGATTGAGTCAGCTGCTGATGTGGCGATGCTGCTGGGTGAACCTTTCATGCCAGTATCTGGGCCGCTGGGACCCTCTGGGGGCAGCAGCGTGTCTGCTGACGTGGCGGACGTTGTCGTGTTGGATGACGGCCCAGGCTCTGACGTGGCAGCTGACGTGGAGATGCTGTGTGGGGATATACTCCCTGCACCTGCTACAGCTGCAGCCACCACCACTCCTGCTACAGCCGCCGCTGCTACAGCAGCAGCACCTGCCCCCACCGCCTGCCTGACCTCCAGCGCGTTTGCAGTCCCTCCCACACCCACCCCAGTCTCCCCGTCCCCCACCCCGGCTCTGCGTGTGGTGTGGCAAGGGGGGCGGGCGGCGGGGGAGGAGGACGTGGGGAGGGTGAGTGTGCGGGCGAGTTCAGAGGCGCAGCAGTGGCTGCGGTCGCTGCAGCAACCAGTGGGTCGCCTGCACGGCTTTGAGGACGTGACTGAAACGGATAGTATTGTACAGGATGGGTCTGTCCTTGTGGGCACGGGCATGCGTGAGGGGCTGGGAGGAAGGGCGGGGGGCGCTGCTTTACTGCGGGGCGGGTCGGGGGACGTGATTGTTGGGCGGAGGAGTGGGGCGCGAAGGGAGGGGGGAGGGGGGATGGTGAGGAGGCGCAGTACAGGGCGGGCAGGGGCGGTGGAGGTGGTGGGGCGGATGGGGAGGGGCGTGCAGCAGCGGGAGCGGGCGCTCAGGAGGCATGCTTCTGCTGGTATGGCGGAGGGGGGCAGGCGGGGCAAGGGGGAGGATGGGGGGAGCGTTGCCTGGGGTGGGGGGAGGAGTGAGGGGGGAAAGCGGGAGGGTGAAGGTTCTATGGGGGGTGATTCAAGCAGGAGGGGGCGTGGGGAAGGAGATGTTGCTCAGGGAGCTTGTAGCGGGGGTGCCAGTAGCGGGGGAGCAGAGACGGTTGTGACTATAGGGGAGGTGGTGGCTGCTGTGGGTGATGGGGGGTGTTCTGGCAGTGGAAGGGGAGGCACTGGGGGGAGTGTGGGGGAGAAGGGGGGCAGTGCAAAGGGGAATGGAGGGGAGGAGGCAGAGGAGGGGAGCGAGGAGGGGGACGGGGAGAGGGGGGAAGAGGGGGAGGAGATGGAGGAGGAAGGGGATCAGGATGGGGAGGAGCAGGGGGTAGTAGCCAAGGAGGGAGAGGAGGAGGGGAAGGAGGGAGAGGGGGAGGGGAAGGGGGGGGTGGGCAAGGAGAGGGAGCGGGTGTGGTACGAGGTGTGTGTGGCGGACGAGGGCGAGGGCATGGCGGAGGACGAGGTGCAGCAGGTGCTCTTCATGGCACAGGCCGGCGCTCAGAGAGGGTGAGTGTGGGATGGGGCGTGGGTGGGGCTTGGGGTGAGGGCAAGGGCGGCACTTAGAAATTCTCGCGTTTCTCCATCCGTCACAACCTCCCTTGTGCACTCCCCTCATACGCTTTGCAATCTTCGACCCCTCCTCTCCCCTTCTCCCCACGCCCTTTGATTCCCAATGTGCGCAGGGGCGTGGGCGGCACGGGCTTAGGTTTGGCCATCAGCCACGGATTGCTGGCGCTGATGGGCGGGCGCCTCTGGATCAAATCCCAGCCGTCCAAAGGAACCCAGGCCTTCGCCCTCTTCCCCCTCCTCCCCGCCTCCGCCCCCTTCCCCCCTTCCGCCAAGGGTGGCCCCCCTGCCTCCCCCCTTGGGGCAGGCCGGCGCTCCCCCTCCCCTGTCCTGGTTGGGGGGCAGGGGGGGAAGGAGGGAGAGGAGGGGGATAGGCAAGCGCTCTCTGTGAAAATGGAGTTGGAGAATGCCGAAGAGGGTGGAAGGGAGGGGACAAAGGAGGAGAAAAGGGAGGCGGAAGGGGAGGAGGGGTCGGAGGAAGAGGAAGAGGAGGAGGAGGAGTGCAAGAGTCTACGAGTGTTGGTAGCGGAGGACAACAAGGTGAACCAGCTGCTCATCCGCCGGCTGTTGAAGCACTACGGGCACGACGTCACCGTGGTGGGCAATGGGCGCCTGGCTGTGGAGGCGGTGCAGAGGGAGAGCTTCGACCTCGTGCTCATGGACCTCCAAATGCCCGTGCTCGTGCGTACCCTTCCCTCACTCACCCTCCCTGTGTCTTCTTCTCACCGTGCTTGTGCCGCTGTTCGAATCCGTTGCCTTGATTAAGTTTCCCTGCTCTTTTGAGGAGCCTCAAGAATCCGTTGCCTTGATTAACTTTCCCTGCTCTTCTTCCCCCTGCCTATCCCAGGACGGGCTCACTGCCACGCGCGAAATCAGGAAGCTTCCGGGAAAAGAGGCACGGGTGCCGGTGTACGCGCTGACAGCGGACGTGTTGGCGCCGGAGATAGAGGCGGCGGGGATGGACGGCTTCCTCAGCAAGCCCATCGCCTGGGACAAGATGAGCCTCGTTGTGCACTCGCTGCTGCACGCTAAAAACGCCAAGCTCAAGCAGCAGAAGCAGGCTGCTGCTGCTGCTGCCGTTACCGGTGCTCCTGCCTCTGCTGCTGCTGCTGGGTCTGCGGCCGCTGCTGGCTCTGCTGCTGCTGCAGGATCTGCGGTTGGTGGTGTGGTTGGTTCGGGTGGCAAGGGTGGGAAGGCAGGGGAGCAGGCACAGGGCCAGGAGGGAGAGAAGGCAGGAGGCAAGGAGGTGGAGGCAGGGAAACCAGCAGCCGGGGGAGCATCGGGTGCAGTGAGTGGAGCCGGTTCGGCTGTAGCGGCAGGAGGAGGTGGGGCAGGTGGAGAGGGGGGAGGCGGCGGCAAGTTGCGGGTGCTGGTGGCGGAGGACAACAGAGTGAACCAGATGCTCATTCGGAAGATGCTGCAGCACTACGGGCATGAGGTGAGCTGGAAGGGGGAGTACGGGCATGAGGTGAGCTGGAAGGGGGAGTACGGGCATGAGGTGACACGGGCATACCGTAATCTGAGTGCGAGGGGTGCAGCACTATGGGCACGAGGTGAGCGTTGTGCGAGGGGTGCAGCACTATGGGCACGAGGTGAGCGTTGTGCGAGGGGTGCAGCCCTACGGGCACGAGGTGAGCGTTGTGCGAGGGGTGCAGCCCTACGGGCACGAGGTGAGCGTTGTGCGAGGGGTGCATCCCTACGGGCACGAGGTGAGCGTTGTGCGAGGGGTGCAGCCCTACGGGCACGAGGTAAGCATTGTACGAGGGGTGCAGAGGACTTCCGTCGTTCAGGAGCTGCTGCATCTCTCTTGCCACATACCAACCGCATTCCCCCTCCCATGGCATGGCATGGCATGGCATGGCATGGCATGGCAGGTGACCCTGGTGCTCAATGGGCGGCTGGCAGTGGAGGCAGTGCAAGCACAGCCATTCGACCTTGTTCTCATGGACATTCAAATGCCCATCATGGTGAGTCATGGGCACACAGAATCACATGATGGTGAGTGGTGCTATCACATGCCACATGCGTTAGCCCCATGTGTCATGCATGCTGCGTATGTATTGCTGGGCACATCACTCTCTCCTCTCCCATGTACCCCCCCGCCCCGCCATGCAGGATGGGTTGACAGCCACACGCGAAATAAGGAAGCTGCCAGGAAGGGAGGCACGAGTGCCGGTGTACGCGTTAACAGCGGACGTGTTGGCGCCGGAGATAGAGGCGGCGGGGATGGACGGCTTCCTCAGCAAGCCCATCGCCTGGGATAAGATGAGCCTCGTTGTGGACACTCTGCTGCGAGCCAAGGCAGGCCAGTCGTGATTGCGCAAGAACATGTGATTACCTGGTAGGTTGTTCTTGGCTTTTCTCTTTGGATGTAGGGTGAAAGGGCTTGTGTTTGCTCATGGATGATGTAGATAAAGCTTTGTTCAGTACAAGTAACACGCTCCAATTGCCTTCATCTGTATATATAGCATTTAGTTGATTCTATTGTATTGTGTGTTGCCCGAATTGGTATTGTAGACTCGTGCGTTATCGAGGCAACCGTATCGCAATATATTCTTTTACCACAACCGAGATCCAGCCGCCTTTTCCAACCAATAAGCAGAAGCTAGACACGCGATCCGACGGTACTAGGATCCCCGCAGCAAGGTTTGGGAGGGCGGTCGGCGGAATGGCCGCGTGGGGCGGCGCGTTCCGCGCAACGCGCGCGGCGTGGAAGAAGCGGAAGGGGCCGATGCTGATGCCGGGGCTGCTGGAGGCACAGCAGCTCGCCGTGGCTCGGCAGCCGGAACGTGTGCTTCGGAACCGAGGCTTGGTGGAGATCGGGCAGGTCTGCCTGCCGAACGCGCTGCAGCAGTCGATTAAAGCCATCGTCGCGGAAGGTAGTTCCTGCCCAATTCGCGCATGCGCGTTTATGACGTCACGATCCGCCCTCTCCTGGCGCTTTCTTCCGCAGAAAGCATCCGCCTTCTCGGCCTCCCACCCCCCAACGCCTTCGAGATCCAGCCGGGGCCCCCTTTCCCCCCACCCCTTTCCCCTCATCGCTTCCGCCGGTCCACCCCAGGCGCAACCAGTTCCGCGCACGTGCACCGCGACGTGCGCCGGTTGATGGCCGCGTACGACGCGTTCTTCAGCGGGTGGCCGCAGCCGTCCGCGGAGCGCCTGGCGGACGACACGCGGGAGCCGCCGTTGATGCGCGAAATGGACGTGGGGCGCATCCCCGACGCGCGGATGGCGCGGCTGCTGCGCGGATGGGAGAAGAACTCGTGGGGGAAGAGCGCGGAGGAGGGCGGGGATGGGGACGCGCGGGAAACGGCGGAAAGGGGGAAAGGAGGGGCGCGGGAGCGGGGGGAGAGGGGGAGGCGCGCGGTGGAGTATGGGGAGACGGAGGCCCTAGCGTACGCGGCCGCGCGCATGCCGTCCTCCTATGCCTCCGTGTTCCGCGCTCTCACCGAGGTGGGGCGGGGCGGGGGCATGTTTCACGTTTGGCGTGTGCAAACAAGGGAGAGGGGCAAATAAGGGGCGAGGGTGGAATGCTCTCACCTGCTGTGTCTGACTGCCGCGCCACACACACACCTCACTCCACCGTGCTGCATCCCCTCCTTTCCCTTACCTCCACCCCTCATCCTTCCCGCATCTTCCCCTTTCTCCACCCCGCCCTCCCTCCCTTCCCCTGGACCTACCTCTCCTCCCGCCTCTAACCCCTCTGGCGGCAGGTGAAGCGGCGGCTGCCCTCACTCGCGCCCTCCTCCCTGCTCGACTTCGGATCCGGGCCTGGCACCGTGATGTGGTGAGATGCGGTGAGATGCGGTGGCATGTGGTGAGAACCCAGCCTTCCCACTTGCTCGCACTCCAGAGTCGTTGCCAATGAAAGCACCCAGGTCTTTGCTGTGCTGCTGGCCTCCTCTTCCCCGTGCGTCAGCCACTGAGGTGGGGCAGGCACAGCACGGCACGGCACGGCACGGCACGGCATGGCATGGCACGGCACGGCACGGCACGGCACGGCAGTGTGCCACAACGGCGAGCCGTCTCTCCTCTGTTGCTCTGCCTGCCCTTCTCTCGTCCCCCCACGGCATGCGTGCAGGGCAGCGAGCGAGGTGTGGGGCAGCACGGTGCAGAGGGCAGCAGCAGTGGAGCCCGCTGATGCCATGTGGGCTATGGGGGAGCGCATCAGAGCAGGTGAGCGGTGAGAGGTGAGGGCAGGTGAGGGCAGGTGAGGGCAGGTGAGGGCAGGTGAGGGCAAGATGGTGGGATTGTTGATGGCAACTGCGACCAGTGCAGCATGTCCCATCACTGCCTTGCCTTGCCTTGCCTTGCCTTGCCTTGCCTTGCCTTGCCTTGCCTTGCCTTGCTCCCTGCTGCCCCCATCCGCGCGCCTGCCTTGCCTGGGACACCTGCCTTGCCTGGGACACCTGCCTTGCCTGGGAGACCTGCCACTACAGGATGGCCTTTAGCCATGACCCCGCCTGCACCGCCCTTTTCTCTTTCTCCTCCCCATCCACCCCTTCCCTCCCCTCCCCTCCCTTCCCCTCCCCACCCCATCCCCCCTCGCCCCACTCCTCCCACCAGTGGCAGCGGCGGGTCCCAGGGCCCCGCGTGCGCTGCCCCCAGTGGAGCGATACACCACCCTGCAGCACCTCTCAAGGGAGGCACGCGGGGCCGACCGGGTGTTTGACGTTGTGGTGGCGGTGAGCTTGGGGGAGGGGGGCGGATTTCGATGAATTGCGGGGACAGGTGGTGTGTGCTTCTGTCCTGCCATGCCTGCCATGCCCTCCATGCCTGACTGCAGCATCACTCCTTTCCATTCCTACTATATGTCGCTCACACCACTCCCTCTCCTCCCTCTCTCACCACACTCCCACCGCCCTCCCATGCGGCAGGCATATGCACTGGGCGAGGTGGAATCAGTGGATGAGAGGCGCGCCATTGTGGACCGCCTCTGGAGCCATGCTCGCCATGTCATGGTGTGTCATGGTGTGTCATGGTGTGTCATGGTGTGTCATGGTGTGTCATGGTGTGTCATGATGTGTCATGGTGTGTCATGGTGTGTCATGATGTGTCATGGTGTGTCATGATGTGTCATGGTGTGTCATGATGTGTCATGGTGTGTCATGGTGTGTCATGATGTGTCATGGTCTGATGGCATGTGGTGACGGCATGTGATGGTATGCCATTGGTATGCAATGCATGTGGTGGCATGCTTTATCATTATTTTTGCATGCAAGGCGTCATCGCATGGCATGGGATGCATACACCCGCCTGCCTCTCCGACCGCATCGTCCTCCCTTCTTGTCTCGTCTCTTCTCATGCCTTCTCGTCTCGTCACTTTCTCCCATCTCTGCATGTGTGTGTGTGAGCACAGGTGCTGGTGGAGACGGGCAATCCCCGCGGGTATGAGGCGATAGCCAAGGCCAGGGCGCACATACTGCACACACAGAGAGCGGTGAGCACACATACTGCACACACAGAGAGCGGTGAGCACACATACTGCACACACAGAGAGCGGTGAGCACACATACTGCACACACAGAGAGCGGTGAGCACACATACTGCACACACAGAGAGCGGTGAGCACACATACTGCACACACAGAGAGCGGTGAGCACACATACTGCACACACAGAGAGCGGTGAGCACACATACTGCACACACAGAGAGCGGTGAGCACACATACTGCACACACAGAGAGCGGTGAGCACACATACTGCACACACAGAGAGCGGTGAGCACACATACTGCACACACAGAGAGCGGTGAGCACACATACTGCACACACAGAGAGCGGTGAGCACACATACTGCACACACAGAGAGCGGTGAGCACACATACTGCACACACAGAGAGCGGTGAGCACACATACTGCACACACAGAGAGCGGTGAGCACACATACTGCACACACAGAGAGCGGTGAGCACACATACTGCACACACAGAGAGCGGTGAGCACACATACTGCACACACAGAGAGCGGTGAGCACACATACTGCACACACAGAGAGCGGTGAGCACACATACTGCACACACAGAGAGCGGTGAGCACACATACTGCACACACAGAGAGCGGTGAGCACACATACTGCACACACAGAGAGCGGTGAGCACACATACTGCACACACAGAGAGCGGTGAGCACACATACTGCACACACAGAGAGCGGTGAGCACACATACTGCACACACAGAGAGCGGTGAGCACACATACTGCACACACAGAGAGCGGTGAGCACACATACTGCACACACAGAGAGCGGTGAGCACACATACTGCACACACAGAGAGCGGTGAGCACACATACTGCACACACAGAGAGCGGTGAGCACACATACTGCACACACAGAGAGCGGTGAGCACACATACTGCACACACAGAGAGCGGTGAGCACACATACTGCACACACAGAGAGCGGTGAGCACACATACTGCACACACAGAGAGCGGTGAGCACACATACTGCACACACAGAGAGCGGTGAGCACACATACTGCACACACAGAGAGCGGTGAGCACACATACTGCACACACAGAGAGCGGTGAGCACACATACTGCACACACAGAGAGCGGTGAGCACACATACTGCACACACAGAGAGCGGTGAGCACACATACTGCACACACAGAGAGCGGTGAGCACACATACTGCACACACAGAGAGCGGTGAGCACACATACTGCACACACAGAGAGCGGTGAGCACACATACTGCACACACAGAGAGCGGTGAGCACACATACTGCACACACAGAGAGCGGTGAGCACACATACTGCACACACAGAGAGCGGTGAGCACACATACTGCACACACAGAGAGCGGTGAGCACACATACTGCACACACAGAGAGCGGTGAGCACACATACTGCACACACAGAGAGCGGTGAGCACACATACTGCACACACAGAGAGCGGTGAGCACACATACTGCACACACAGAGAGCGGTGAGCACACATACTGCACACACAGAGAGCGGTGAGCACACATACTGCACACACAGAGAGCGGTGAGCACACATACTGCACACACAGAGAGCGGTGAGCACACATACTGCACACACAGAGAGCGGTGAGCACACATACTGCACACACAGAGAGCGGTGAGCACACATACTGCACACACAGAGAGCGGTGAGCACACATACTGCACACACAGAGAGCGGTGAGCACACATACTGCACACACAGAGAGCGGTGAGCACACATACTGCACACACAGAGAGCGGTGAGCACACATACTGCACACACAGAGAGCGGTGAGCACACATACTGCACACACAGAGAGCGGTGAGCACACATACTGCACACACAGAGAGCGGTGAGCACACATACTGCACACACAGAGAGCGGTGAGCACACATACTGCACACACAGAGAGCGGTGAGCACACATACTGCACACACAGAGAGCGGTGAGCACACATACTGCACACACAGAGAGCGGTGAGCACACATACTGCACACACAGAGAGCGGTGAGCACACATACTGCACACACAGAGAGCGGTGAGCACACATACTGCACACACAGAGAGCGGTGAGCACACATACTGCACACACAGAGAGCGGTGAGCACACATACTGCACACACAGAGAGCGGTGAGCACACATACTGCACACACAGAGAGCGGTGAGCACACATACTGCACACACAGAGAGCGGTGAGCACACATACTGCACACACAGAGAGCGGTGAGCACACATACTGCACACACAGAGAGCGGTGAGCACACATACTGCACACACAGAGAGCGGTGAGCACACATACTGCACACACAGAGAGCGGTGAGCACACATACTGCACACACAGAGAGCGGTGAGCACACATACTGCACACACAGAGAGCGGTGAGCACATGTACCATTCGCCGCCCTCTTCTCTCTCACAACCCCCCACAGACCCCGAGGGACCCCCAGGGACCCCCAGAACCCCCTGGGACCCCCAGGGACCCCCTTCCCTTGCCCAAGCCAATCACGCCTTTCATACCCAGCTGATCCTCTTGTGCATCTCTGTGCTTCTGCTCTCCGTCCTCCTGCGCCCTCTCCTGCACTCTGCAGCGTTGTCTCCTCCTCCCCTCCCTTGCCTTGCCTCCCCTCGTCCTGCTCACCCCATGCCCCCTCGCCCCTCCCACATGAGCCAGAAAGCAGCTCGACTGGCTGATAGGGGACCCAGCAAGAACGCACCACACCCCTCCAAACCCATTCTACCGCCCGGTGCTCACGTGCTCGCCCCTGTAAGTGCCACCTTCCCCCACCTGGCCCCTCGCCCCTCTCTCTTCCCACTTCCGTCTCATGTCCTCTGCAGCATCCCTTCCTTGTGCTTGTTTCCGCCTCCACCGTCCCACTCACCACATCATTCATCTCTTGCTCTCTCAAAACGCCACCTTCGCCTCCCACCTCCTCCCGCCCGCCCCTCCAGTGTCCACACGACGGGCACTGCCCCATGTACGGCACGGTCAGCTGGTGCCACTTCTCCCAGACGCTGCAGCGCTCTGCCGTGCAGCGCATTGCCAAGGTACGGTTGCGGTCCTGCCGCCATGTGCTCTGCTCTTGTGCTTCTCCTCGTGCTCCATGTTCGAACGAATGGCAGGGGCACACATCCTTCCACTTGGCCTTGCTACTCCGCTCTTCCCTTGTCTCTCGCCCTGCATTCTCTATCAATCCTTGCATCATGGGCATTCCCCCTCTATCATACCTTTTTTGCTCTCCCTCGCCTCACCACCCCTCTCGCTCCTTCACCTGCCACAGAGGGCAGCGGGGCAGGAGATAACGGGCAGCACGGAGGAGGAGAAGTTCTCATATGTGGTGCTGCGCAGGGGACCTCGACCCGAGTGAGTGGGTGGGGCGCAGGGGACCTCGACCCGAGTGAGTGGGTGGGGCGCAGGGGACCTCGACCCGAGTGAGTGGGTGGGGCGCAGGGGACCTCGACCCGAGTGAGTGGGTGGGGCGCAGGGGACCTCGACCCGAGTGAGTGGATGGGGCGAGGCAATGTGACATGGGTGAGTTACTGAGGGGACTGGTGATGTCAAGCTCGATTGATTTGGCGCTGGCACTTCCAAGGCCTTCAAGGGGTTGCATTTGCATGTCTTGCGTCACTCCCCATCCACCCCTCTTCTCCTGGTTGAGAGTGGCAGGGTGGTGGCACCGCTGCAGCAAATAGCCCAGTTCCGGAGGGAGGAGAAGGAGAGGCAGGCAAGGGAGGAAGCAGAGAAGGAGGCCAAGCGCCTGGCCAAGAAGCAAGGTGATGAGGGGATAGGTTGAGTCGCTGAGCTACTGAACGCTTTTGAGGCAACTGTATGCCCTCGCCGTGCGAGTGCCAGGGACTGTGTGGCCCATGTGGTTGCAATGCCCATGCCCCATCCATGAGGCCCATCCCTCAGCACACATCCACCATGGCAACCCTCACATGCCTGCTGCTTGCCGTTCCCGTTCCGTCCTTCACTCCCCTCTCCCCCACTCCTCTTCGGTGCGCCCCTGTGCTGTGTTCACCACCAGCCAAGTGGGGGCCGACAGTGCGGCTCATCCCCCTGGACGAGGGACCCGTGGACGCAGAGGGGGGCGCGCTGCAAGGGGACGGGCAGGGTGAAATGGATGCAGGTGATGAAGGGGAGCGGGTGGAGGAGGATGAGGAAGAGGAAGAGGAGGAAGAGGAGGATGTGGATGAGGAAGAGGAGGCGGACGTTCGACCGAAGCACACTCCTGTGAGCTCACCAGACGAAGAGAGTGGGGAGATGGAGGGCAGTAGGGATGGTGAAACTGACATGGACGGGAATGTCACTGACAGCAGTGGTGAGGGTGACAATGGTAACGATGATGATGACTTGGATGATGATACAATCGATCCCGAATTAGCCACTGACAACCCGCCACGTGGCGACCGCTTTGCGAATCTGAGTCCCGAGTGGAGCCGTGTGATTCGCAAGCCGAGGAGGCGGGGGCAGCACGTGATAGTGGACGTGTGTGCTTCTGTGGACGGCAGGGGGCGGCGCGGCGAGCTGCAGCGGCTGCTCTTCTCCAAGGCTGCTGGGCGTGTGGAGTACCGGTTTGCACGCAAGGTGCGGTGGGGTGACCTGTGGCCCAGCATGGGCGAGGCACAGGAGGGCGAGAAGGACGGCAAGAGCGAGGGCGCAGATACAAGTATGAGCACGTAGGATGGTTTGGTGCATCTGGGTGATGCAGATGCAGTGTTGTAGACTGCCATGGTTTATCCTAGGTGTAATGTAGTGTGTATAAGCTGTAGGTCCTTTTATTGGCAGTAAAGGCATTTGAATTTGTCTGCCCAGCGTCTGGGTTCAACCCAATATACGTACAGGGTTGAGCAGAAAGTAACCAACCTGAAATGTCCATCAACCCGAAAGCACCTAGCAACACCTAGCAACCCAGAGGTACCGTATGTACCACTAGTGACTAGCCAACCGAGAACCACCCACCCACCAAACCTTGTTATTCAAATGGTGGAATACGCAATGGTGTTTGTCTATCAGTTTTCCATTCAGATGCTGAATTTATTTTGTCCTTAGATGAGGTGTGGTGTGGTGGTAGGGCTGGATGGTGAAGAGCATTTTGAGAGTACAACCCTGATTGGGAGAAGTGTAGAGAACTACAGTGTGCGCAATATCTCGGGGAGAATATGCCACACGTAACCAACATAGGACTCAATAACGTGAATGGTAAAAATTGTAACGCGTACGGTCACTGTATCGGGATTCCTGGGGTGTTTGGTAAGTGGGGTCACGGATTCAGTCACTAACAACAGGTAAAAAATCACGCGAATGGTCACACATGTAACTCCCGCCAAAATTTCTTGAAACTCTAAAATTTTCCCGCTCGCGCGCAACCAATCAGCTAACTTCGTAAAATACTAAAACCCGATCGGAATTGGATGCAGTTTGGGGACGGATCAACCCTAAACACCTGGCGAATTGTGTTTAGGATTGATTCATCCGAAAATGCATCCAGGTTATCTGTTTTTAGGTATTATCTGTTTTTGGCGGGAGTTTCATCTGTGACCATTCGCGTTATTTTTTCCCTGTTGATTGTGACTGATTCCGTGAAACTCTTTATCAAACATGTGAAATCACCCTTTGCAGTGACCGTACCCGCTATTTTTTCACCAAACATATTATCGAGACCCTTGTTGATTACGAGTGGCATATTTTCCCAATATCTCGAAGTGATATTTCAGGGAGCTGTAACCTTGAAAGCATCTTCTTCAGAATCTTCTGTGCGAGGCGAGCGGGGGGGGGAGGCACGGGACAGCTGCGGGCAAAACCAAGGGGAATTGGGATGAGTAGCAAGGGGCATCTGGTCTGGCATGCCTCCCCTCCCATTGCGAGCAAATAATCGCCTCGCCAGCATCTATTTGTTCATTTCATGACAACCTTCCCGTGCTCGGATGGTCAGGCCAGACAGACAAACCGTACTCAGGACAGACGACAGCCTCATGCTGTGACGAGCGCCAGAGTAACGAGCGGTAGCGACATTGATCAGCATCAGGACATCAGTCCCGAGATAGCATTCTTACTAATTAGTCAAGCGTCATCAGATCGCATCGCATCTGTTCCTGATAATCCCGCATGACAATTTCCATCGACGGAAAACGGGACAAATAGTACTAGAAGCGAGCATTTGAAGCAACATCACAAATGAGTTCCGTGACTTAGCAAAAAAACTCATGTCCACTGGACCACACCGCACGACTCACGGTAGCGTAGATTTAAACGTGACCGTTTGAGCTCATCGGTAGAGTGCGACGCGACCATGACGACCAGCAGCGACACCCAGCCGCAGGAGCCGGCGCATAACGCGGGTCCCGAGGTAGCGCTCGTGTTCATCGGCGTGTCTCTGGCGCTCGGCGCGCTGTGCCGGCAGGTGCTGAGCAACACGCGCATCCCGTATACCGTCGCGCTGCTGCTCGTCGGAGTCGGCCTGGGCGCGCTAGGTAGGCGGAACCATTTTATAGGATCACGGTGACAGGCCGTTTCTAGGTACCGCGGATTTGTTGGACGAGCAATTTTTTGTATCCTCGGAAAAAAAAAGGGTTTTCAAAGAATCTAGCGTAACCTTAACGTCATCATTCAAAAACTGCTTATGGTGAGGAGTTGTTTCCATCTGTGTAAGTCGTTGACCTGCGTTTCTTCTCGTGGTGGTGGTTGTGCAGAGTATTATGTCAACCTGGGATTGCTGGGAGAGAGCATTCAAATGTGTACGCGTCATGAACCCTGACCTTCGCATTTCCACGTCTTTTCACGCAGTCGCCTCGATTTCTTACTGTTTGACTTCTCCCTGACGCTATTTTCCAAAACACGCCAATCCCTTGTCTCGTGAATGGCTCCAGCTAGCAAAGCTTGTGCTTTATCCCTAGCCACGCGTCCCTACATGTCTGCATGCGTCCAGGGGCGGACATTGATCCAGAGCTGGTGCTCTACGTATTTCTGCCGGCGCTCCTTTTCGAGAGCGCCTTTTCCTTCGAGTTTCACCAAGTCAAGGTGACTCAGCCATGCCTTGTAACTCGCGGTGCCTCAACATGATTGTCCTCGTACGAGTGCCTTACCCTGTCTCCCACACACCCCTACTCCCCGCTTGGGTCCAATCATCCTCACTCTCCTATGAATTCCCCTGTGATACCTACGTCCTCAATGCTCCCCTTGTTGTGGCAAGAGCAGCGGTGTCTGGTGCAGATGTTTCTGCTGGCAGTGCCGGGGGTGGCCATTTCCACTGGCTTCCTCGGAGTCATCAGCCGGGTAAGCGAGCATGCAGCCAGAGGAAGCAGAGGAAACTCCAAAGATGAAGGGGGAAGGAAATTGTTATGCACGAATCGGCGCTTTTTTGCCGTGATGCTTTGTCACTGTATTGCCGTGAAGCTTTGTCACTGTGTTGCCGTGATGCTTTGTCACTGTGTTGCCCAGCTGAGGGCGTTCCTCAATCCTTCCCCTGACCGTGTTACCCTCCACCTTTCCGGCCCTGACGTGGTGCATGGCGGGTTGCGTTGTGGCAGTACGTGCTGCCGTACGGGTGGAACTGGAGCACGGCCATGCTGCTGGTCGGGCTGTTGAGCGACACCAACTTGCTCTCCCATCGCTTCCCTCTTCCCCCCCCCCCCCTTTACCTTTCCCTGCATACACGGCGCGGGTGGCAGTACGTGCTGCCGTACGGGTGGAACTGGAGCACGGCCATGCTGCTGGGCGGGCTGTTGAGCGACACCAACTTGCTCTCCCATCGCTTCCCTCTTCCCCCCCCCCCCTTTACCTTTCCCTGCATACACGGCGCGGGTGGCAGTACGTGCTGCCGTACGGGTGGAACTGGAGCACGGCCATGCTGCTGGGCGGGCTGCTGAGCGCCACGGACCCCGTGGCCGTGGTGGCGCTGCTGCGCGACCTGGGCGCCTCCAAGAAGCTCAGCACCATCATTGACGGCGAGGCTCTCATGAACGACGGGTGAGCGGTGCTGACGGGTGAGGGTTGAGGGGTTTGGTTGAATGAAGGGTTGGTGGATAAAGAATGCTGTGGTTTTGGTTGACGTGGTTTCTGACCGCATGCCCGCATTCGTCATCTTGTATCAACTCCCATATCCTATCCTGTGCAATTGTGCACCTGCCCCTGCCCAACAGCACGGCCATAGTGGTGTTCCAGCTGTTCCTGCGCCTCACTCTCGGCTACAGCTATGGCATTGGGGATGTCATTGGCTTCCTCTTCAAAGTCACTCTCGGCGGGTGAGTGCCTCGTGCCAGCATCTGCTCACACATGCTGGCATGTGCTCACACGTACCAGCGGTTGTTGACACACCCCCCCCCCCTCCCTCGTCCTTCTTCACGCGTTGTATGTGCGGCTCATCCCGTTTCCCCCTTCCTCGCTGTGTTGCCATGGCGTGGCGCAGGGTGGGGCTGGGGATGGCGTTCGGGGTGGTGAGTCTGCTGTGGCTGCGCACCGTCTTCAGCGACCACGTCATCGAGATCACCATCAGCCTCACCGCCTCCTACATGGCCTTCTTTGTGGTGCGTGCGCATGAACATGCTGCACCACGTCACACGCATGGCATCCGATGCCATGGGGTCAAAGGACATGTCAAGGCCATGGTTTACCATGGGGTCAAGGGCATTCTATGCCATGCCATGTTCGCACAATAAACCATGCCGCGTTGTGGATGGATGAGATGTGCCACAGGATGTCAAAAGAGTCTGAGTGATCGCATGCACCTTACTCCCTGTGTGGTTTTTCTTGCCGCATGGAATCTTGAATACAATTTGCATGTGCCCAAGTTCATGTACCGTCAAGGTGCTGTGGTCGCATGCGAGGCGACCTCTTTGTGTGTCGCTGCGTTGCGTTCCTCCCTCCTTCCATGCAGGCTAATGATGTGGCCCAGACATCGGGAGTGCTGTCAGACATGACACTTGGCATGTGAGATGCATGATGCTTGGCAAGTGAGATGCATGATGCTTGGCAAGTGAGATGCATGACACTTGGCATGTGAGACCAAGTGAGCATGCCAGTGCAGTGTAGCTTGCTTAACGATTTTGAATTTTACTCTGTGTATGACCTGGGGACTCTTTCATATCTCACTCAGTTCTTTCCTTGCTTCCCTCCCTCCCGCTTCCCCGCTTCTCGCCTCCCTCCATCCCTCTGCTCTCCTCCCTCGTCCCCGCTCCTCATGCCAGCATGTTTGCCATATTCGCCAAGACAGCATTCACAGGGGAGAGCGAGCAGGGCATGCACCACTTCTGGTGAGAACTCTACAGCACTTCCATTTCATCCCACGCACGTCTCTCAGTTCTGCTTCCAAAATCACATTAACGCATGTCGCGCGCCTGTCCACTTTACGCTTCATTGCGTGCAGGGAGATGGTGTCTTACATCGCCAACACGCTCATCTTTGTGCTCAGGTAACTCTTCTTACGTGGCACTATACGAGCCCATGCTGCTGACTTTTGATCAAGGTTGGGTAGTCATTGTGCAAGTCATTCAGTTGACATGTGATTAAGGTGTGTCGAATAACTCTCATGTGTTTCAACCTCTTCGCCTCCCCACGTCGCAGTGGAGTGGTGATATCAGAGAGCATCCTCCAGAACGCCAACTATATCAAAGGTGCTCCCCCCTCGCTACTCTGCCTCTTCAATTCATGCTAGATTTTCCTGCTCTGTGTGCTGCTGACTGTGTCTGCGTGGTGCTCAGCTCTTTAGTTCAGATTCGTTTCAAAAGCCACTCAACTCTGCTCGCGTTTGCAACTCGTCTTGCAATACGCCTCTCCCCCGATGTGCTTCGTTCCACCGTGCCGCTTTTTGCTCCCCCCTCCACGCATCAGGCGTGGACTGGGGCTACATGGTGCTGCTCTACATATTTGTGCAGATGTCGCGCGTGGTGGTGGTAGGCGTGCTGTGGGGTGTTTTTTAGAATTCTCAAAAACACCCTGCACCCTCTATTCTGCCCTTCCCTCTTCCTTTACCCCCTGCCACCCGCCAGGCGCTGACTGGGGCTACATGATTCTGCTGTACGTGTTCGTGCAGCTGTCCCGAGTGGTGGTGGTGGGAGTGCTGTACCCCGGGCTGGCCACCAGCGGCTACGGGCTCACGTGGAAGGAGGCCATCATCCTCGTCTGGTCCGGCTTGCGCGGTGCCGTCGCCCTCACGCTCGCCCTGCTCGTCAGCGTAAGTCACAGCTCACATGGGGGGCGTGGGGCACATGCGGGGCGTGGGGCACATGCGGGGCGTGGGGCACATGGGAGGCGTGGGGTGGGGCACATGGGATGGGAGGCGTGGGGTTTCTCTGCTGTCCTGTCTGCTGGGCCCAGTCGCTGTGTCTTCCTCTCCTTGTCAAGGTTCTTGCCGTGCCCAATGTCTTCCCATCCTCCCTTCATGAAGTGTGCTTGCTCATGCCGTGGTCTGCTTCCACCATGGGACGTCAGCCTCACCATTAATTACCATGATTTTTCCACCCCTCTTCCCTTTCTGCCATGTGACAGCACGAGCCGGTAACAGAAAACATCACAAAAGAAACAGAGGCCAGGGTAAGTCTTCTCCTGCTCTCCGTCGACTTGCCTCTGCTCTTCAAGGTTCATTTGTGCACACGGGTAGCTTGCCAGTCTGCACACAGTGCTCACCGCTTATCTCTTTCACGGTGTGTCCTGTTACATCTTGGTTTAAGGTTTAGGATCTATGGTATGCCGCCTCTCTCTGCCTGCCCGCCCGCCCGCCCACCGCCCGCGTGCAACAGTTCATGTTCCTGACTGGAGGGGTGGTGTTTCTGACGCTCATAGTGAACGGCAGCACCACTCAGTTCCTGCTCGCAGCGCTCAAGATGAACGCCACCTCCGACATCAAGGTGCCTCCCTCCCCTTCCCCGCACCCTCTCTCTCACTCCCTCTTCCCATCCATTACTCACTGTTCCTCAACTCCTTCCTGCCTCTCTCTCAATCACCCTCCTCATTCCCCATTCCCCATTGCCTGCTTCCTCTCCCCCATCTCCCACCAAACCTCTCCATTCCCGCACCCCATCATCTCCCCTCGTCCCCTGCCCCGCAACAGAAGCGAGTGGTGAACTTCACGAGGCAGGAGCTGTGTGAGTACGCGGTGAAGACCTTCGAGGAGATCGGGGACGACGAGGAGCTGGGGCCAGCGGAGTGGGCCACTGTCAACGAGTACCTCACGTGCCTCAAGCAGCCCGCCTCCCAGGGCGCCAGCACCCTCTCTGCCAGCGGCTTCCTCAGCCGATTCGGAGGCTCGGGGACTGGTTCGGGGGGAGGGTCAGGGGTGGGGTTGAGGAAGAGCCACCCGCACGATCACAGCCAGTCGCATGAGCAGCTGCGGGCGCAGCAGCTGCATGACACTCGCCTTAGGTTCCTCAATGGTGCGCGCCTGCATGCTTACTCACCACCGCCGCCTTGTTATCCTGAGTTGCATGCCTAGACATGTTCTAGTGAAATGATTGGCTGCCTCCCATGGGTCACGTCCACCAGCATTGACTCTCCCTCTCCCTCCCTGCTCCCGTTCAAGTCACCTAAGAAATTCCTTTTGAGGTACCTAAAAAAAACGGCTTTCCTCTCTGCCCGCCACCACACACACCTGTTCTCCACCCCACCCAGGCGTGCAGGCGGCGTATTGGAGCATGCTGGAGGAGGGGCGAGTCAACCAAACAGCCGCCATGCTGCTCATGCAGGCCGTGGCCGAGGCCGTCGACCTCACCACACAGCAGCGCCGCCTTCTGCTGTGGAAGGCCCTGGAGCCGCATGTGCGCATGCCGCGCTACCTGCGCCTCATTCACCGCCGCCTGCGCAAGCTGCTCCCCCAGCGCGTCCTCAACTGGGTCACCGTGGACCGCCTGGAGCTCGCGGCTTCCATGTCCGCTGCTTACATCCGCGCTCTGCGGCATGCGCGGCAGCAGCTGCGGGACTTCCTCAGTGAGTGGGCTTCTTTGATCAGTGAGCGGGTGGGTGAGTTTGTTGGTCAGTGGTTGAAGAAAGCCCTGGAGCCCCATGTGCGCATGCCACGCTACCTGGTTCATGGAAGACGTGCGACTCAACTTCCCCGAGGTGCTCACCATCATCAAGACCAAGCAGGCCACCTACACCATCGCTTCTGCCGCTGCCTCCTCACCTCCCACTCTGCTTCCCTCTCCCGTCCGCCCCCTCATGCCATCAGAGGACAGCCCGATATGCGAGGCGGTGATACTGGAGAGTGAGGAGGAGGAGGTGCAGGCCAAGAGGTTCATGGAAGACGTGCGCCTCAACTTCCCGGAAGTCCTCACAATCATCAAGACCAAGCAGGTCACCTACGCCATCCTGCAGGGCCTTCACGGGTACGTGGAGAATCTCGAGCACGCGGGCCTGCTGGACCAGCGCGAGGTGATGCATCTGCACAAGGCCGTGCAGGCGGACATGAAGAAGCTGCAGCGCAGCCCGCCGTTTGTGGCGATGCTGCCGGCGGGGGAGGTGCTGGCGAGGCAGCCGCTCATCGGAGCGCTACCGGCGGACATCCGCCTGGCGCTGCTGCAGCCGCTCAAAGAGGCCACCAAACTCTCCGGTGCGTCCCTCTTCCACGAGGGGCAGGCGGCTCAGGGCGTCTGGCTCATCGCCTCCGGTACTGCCAAGGTGAGCACCCGCCCCATCCACCCAGTCATCCAGCCAGCCAGCCAGCTAGCCACCCACCCATCCATCCATCGATCCGTCCATCCGTCCATCTATATCTCGTTCCCAATGGCACAGGATCAAATTTGGCACTCAGATGTTCTCTCTGTCCGTTCTCCCACACCCTTCTTCCCGCACGTCTTATTCTCTGTCCCCCGTCCCACCCCACCCACCAATGCCAGTGGACGTCAGTGCGGGCGGAGGCAGAGGCGGAGGCACACGGGCAGCGGTTCATCCCGCCGCTGTTTGCACACGGCAGCTCTGTGGGGCTGTATGAGACGCTGAGGGGGTGCGCATACATGAGCACGGTGACAGCTGACAGCGTGCTGCACTGCTTCTTCATCGACCGCCAGCGCATCATGGATGCTGCGGGCAGCAGCGATGCTATAGAAGACTTTCTGTGGAAGGTGAGAAGCATGGGTAACGGGAAGGGCATGTATATATTTTTCACTCTCTTCCTCCTCCAATTGGTTCTCAACTTGCAATGTGTCTGCTCCTGCCCCCTCTCTGTCACACTCTCCATTATCTTCTCCCATTTCTCCTTGTTCCCCTCCCCTTCCTCCCTTTGCTCTCACGCTTCCTCTGTCCTGCGTTCCTCTCCCCCCTCCCGCAGGAGAGCTGTTTGGAGGTGGTGAGGGTGCTGCAGCCGGAGGAGTTTGGCGCCCTATCAATGCATGAGCTGCGCGTGCTGCTCACCGACTCAGCGCACCTCCTCACCTGCCGCCCAGGAGACACCCTGGACCTGTTGCCCTCGCAAGTGGCCGTGCTGCTGCTCGGCTCCGTGCGCCCTGTTGACACCTCCCTGCTCAACGCCTCTGCCTCCGCCTCTGCCATTCCTTTCTCTGGCTCGGTTCTTGCTGCCTCCCAGCCAGTGCTGCTTCCCACGCACACTGTTGCTACCTCGTCTGCCATTCCTGGTGCTGCCGCAGCTGATGCTGCCGCGACTGGCTCTGCAAGTGCAGGCGTAGGGCAGGTCAATGGGGGCGTGCGTTCGGATGCAGACGGCGTGCAAGGGGGTGATCCAAGCGAGACGGATACGCTGCTGGGCGGTGGCAATGGGGCCGGTGGGGGCGGTGGGGATGGAGGAGCGGGGAAGAGCAGTGGGGAGCAAAAGGTAGAAGGATTGGAGGGGGATGGGCGTGTGGAGAATGGCATGCTGGTGGCCATTGATGCCCCGGCATTACTCACCGCACAGCCGTTGCCACCCGCAGGTGCGTTCCCCACAAAACTGCTGCTCGTGCCCTTAAATCTTCACTGAATGGGCCAGAAGGATTGAATGTGCTGCAGTCAACAGGAATCCTAAGAGTTCTTGTGCTGTCATGAGCTGATAACCCTCTGAATGGTTTCTTGCTGTGCAGCCCCTGATCGGTCAATGTATGGTGACAGCACTGCCATGCTCCCCGGGCGCTACTCCGCTCTCTCCCTCTGCAAGCTGCTTGTCATCCACATGCCCCGCGACCTCATGTCCGTCCAAAACACGCCCACCAGGTGCGTGCGACAGACAGTGGATGCATGTGTGGGGCTTGCCCATGTACATGCCGTGTATCCACTGTACACATGTATATGACTGGCACCCGTCATCTTCTCATCGCTTGCTCCCACATCACCTTCCTGCTCCCCCTTCTCTGCTTGTGCGTGTGCCATCACCTGCAATGCAATGCAACCATCCACTCCTAACATCCTCCCCCCTTCTCCCCTCGCTTTCTTCGCCCAATCAGATCGTTCCACGTGCACCGCCCACAGGCCACGCACGACCACGACGGGCTGCTGCGCTTCGGAGCAGAGGGAGCAGAGGAAAGCACCCTCAACGAGGCGCTGCTGGCGGCCGTGGGGGCGGGGGAGCACGCTGGGGGGAGCAGTGGGGCAGGGCGGGGCGAGGAGGGCGTGGGGTGGGTGGGCGAAGAGGGGGCGAGTGAGATGACGATGCCGCGCGGCAGTGAGCTGGCGGCAGCGCTGAGGGACCGTGCTGTGGTGGACCAGGCGCTCATGGAGCGAGCCATGGAGCTCAGTGTGTTCGGCAGCAAGGTGCGCCCGCAGCTGGGGGGGGGAGAGTGTGGCGGCAGACAGCGCTGCTTCTGCACATGTGTTGTTGCTGCTACTGCAGCTGTCTAATTTTTCATTAATCTATTTGCGTACATCCGTAGTCTCGACTGACCTGCATTTCACTTGCTCCTTCATGTGTCTTGCATCTATCGACTTATCTGTGCCCGCTTTCTCACACCACGCCCTTGCTCTCCACCCCCTTCTTGTCCCAGCTGAACCTGAGACCGCGCAGGACCACGGACACATCACCACACCATCATTCGCAGCTGCACTACAGCCACGTGCACGCCCACTACCACAGCCACTACAACCTGCACGCCGCTCGAGTCAGCCCCACCCCCTCCCCCGCGACGGCCCTCTTCACTGCCTCCCAGCCGCACCTGCTGCCTCATTTCGGCCACCAGGCAGGACAGCCGGTTAATCGTGCTGCCACGTCAACAGGTGCCAGTGCGCGCAAATCCAGCGACCCCAACATTGTCCAATCGATGCGCAGCGGCCAGGTCAGCTTTGCAGCGCAGGGCCAGCTGGCACGCGGCGGGGCGCACAGCACGTCGCTGTCTGCGATCTTGCCGTCTCTTTATGCAGCGGCTGATTCACAAACTCCAGGCAGTGATGGTGGTGGTGGTGTGAAGGCTGATGGGCCATCGAGGGACAGTGGTGCTGGAGATATGGCCAAGACTAAAGTCCCCCGTGCGTTTCTGCCGCCAAATCGGCCTCCATCCTCAGCGCCAGCCTCGTCCAGTGGTATTCCTCTCGACCGGCAACCAGATCCAGCGGAAGGAGAGGCATTGCTAAAAAATGCACCGAGGAAGGAGTCAAGGGGAGGCCCATCACATGAACTTCACCCAATTCCTTCTGCCCCCAATGAAAGAGTGGCTGATGATAGCGATGAGGAGGATGGCGCGGATCATGTTGTCTCCATTGACTCACCTAGCCGCCTGTTTTGAACATAGGGAAACATTTCTACGTAGTGGGCGCCTACCTGTTTATTGATAGCTAATGTATGTTTGTCTTCGGTTCGGGATGCAAATCTTGTGGGAAACTCTGGATGTGATTTCTCGTCAGCAGTGCATTGGTGTTCAATGAAATAAGCAGGTGCTATCTGCGTCGGGTCTATTCACGAGAATAGTTTCAAGCATAACCGGAGATGGCGGAGACGGATCGCAGGTGTCAATTCAGGTGCCAGGTGAACACCTGCCACAACTGCATGACAAATGTCCTCCATCACCAGAGAATTCCTTTGGCCGCCTTTTCCTTCCCTCGCCATGCTGACATCACATTTCCTCTCTTCATTCGCCATCACGCCAGTCTTTACCTTTCACTACCGTCTGCACACAAGCATCAGCATTGTAGATTGCCCGTAGAACAAAACCTCGGTTTTTTCTCTAGATCGGGTAGACGCCATGGCGTGCAAGGCAGCTTTCGTTCTTCTCGCCCTCCTCGCGGCTGCCGCGTTCTGTAACGCGAGCCGTCCTCTGCCTGCAGACAGCGACAACTCCGTTACCGTCGTTGCCAAGGATACCGATAACACGGTCGCCGTGGTTCCCGCCGATAACGACAACACGGTCGCCGTGGTTCCTGCTGATAACGACAACACGGTCGCCGTGGTTCCCGCCGATAACGACAACACGGTCGCCGTGGTTCCCGCCGATAACGACAACACGGTCGCCGTGGTTCCCGCCGATAACGACAACACGGTCGCCGTGGTTCCCGCCGATAACGACAACACGGTCGCCGTGGTTCCCGCCGATAACGACAACACGGTCGCCGTGGTTCCCGCCGATAACGACAACACGGTCGCCGTGGTTCCCGCCGATAACGACAACACTGTCGCCGTGGTTCCCGCCGATAACGACAACACTGTCGCCGTGGTTCCCGCCGATAACGACAACACTGTCGCCGTGGTTCCCGCCGATAACGACAACACTGTCGCCGTGGTTCCCGCCGATAACGACAACACTGTCGCCGTGGTTCCCGCCGATAACGACAACACTGTCGCCGTGGTTCCCGCCGATAACGACAACACTGTCGCCGTGGTTCCCGCCGATAACGACAACACTGTCGCCGTGGTTCCCGCCGATAACGACAACACTGTCGCCGTGGTTCCCGCCAAGATGGCAGAGGACAATGTGGCTGTCGCGCAGCCATCATCTGACGTCAGCCCTAAGATTGCTATGGTTGTGTAAACGAGAATCGTGACCACAGCAGTTGAGGACCGTGGTGAAATGAAGTCGCTTTCATTTAGTTGTGAATAGTCAGTCCTGTTGTATACGTAGCGTTGTGTATTTTGCTGTTAGTCTCCGTGTGTTGCATAAGGGCCCAGAGGATCTGTGCGGCTGTAAACTTATCTGTTGTATCCATTCCATATGCGCCAGCTTTATAGACAAAGCAGCGGTCACGCCTCATGTCCCTACATGTATTGATGTCTGTATGCTGGTCTGAGAATGTGACCTGAGCATGCTTGTGGGATCATGTACGGTACCATAGTTGCTTGCATTTCAAATGCAAGTATTCTATGGCACTATATCTACCTGCCCTCCTGCTTACCTTTACTGTCTCCAGAACAGCCCCAGTGTCAGAATGAGGAATGAATGATGCATTGATGTTGGTTGGGGTACATATAGCTAACCCTAAGTTTTGTACCCCCTAAGACAAACCTCACTATAGGCTACAACATTTGACACACCCCCATAGCCTAAGTGAGGGGTGTCTAGCAGAACCAAACGAGTACGGTCACAAGACCAGTCCAAGAAACGAAGCTCAGGGTGGATCACAACGTCACCACACAGTCTGAGCACAAACAACAGTGGCCACAAGGCCAGTCCAAGAAGTAACAGAGGTATATAGAAAGCAAAGTAAACAGTACACTCAAGTCTAAGCAACACGAGAACCAGTGTCAACAAGGCCTAACTGCACACAGCACCTCTGGTGGTCACAAGGCGGAAGCGCCTTGGTGAAGATGTCTGCAGTGTTGGCCTCGGACTCCACAAACTCAAAGCGAGCCTGTCCACGCCTCTGCAACTCTCGCAGAAGAAAGTACCTGACGTGAATGTGCTTCACTCTGCTCTCCAGTCGTGGCTCTCGACAAAGGAGAATAGACGCCTTGTTGTCAGTAAACAAGGTCGGTGCAGAGCTCGGCCGCTCACCAAGGTCGGTGAGCAAGAAGGTCAACCAACGCAGCTCCTGTGCCGCCATGGCACCAGCGTAGAGGTCGAGACCGAAGAGGAGCGCGTGGACCGCCAGGAAACAGCTCCAGAACCCAGGCTGAAACAGTACCCCTGAGTAGACCTGTGAGTCTCAGCGTCGTCAGCGTAAGAGGAGTCACAGTGACCAGTAAGTACGACAGACTGCTGCCCTCCAAGAACTAGCCCCACGCCTGACGTCGTCGCTAGGTACTTCGCCACCCTCACAGCTGCTGTCCAGTGAACAGGACGGTGTCTCCCTGGCGCAACAAAGCGCGCAAGAACGCTGAGAGGGAAGGCGAGGTCCGGGCGAGTACAAGTCATCAGGTACATGAGGCAACCCACAAGCTCTGCGTAGGGACCACTAGGCTCGAACGGCTCGTCAGGAAAGGGTCCAGTGAGTCTGTGGTCAACAGCAAGAGGTGTGCGCTGTACTGTGGAGTGCTGAAGCCCGAACCGCTGAAGGACCTGCTGCACCATGTGCGACTGTGAAAGTGTAATGGTGCGAGCAGCTCTGTCCCTGGTGATCTGCAGGCCAAGGTAGTGGCGCAGCTCACCAAGATCAGTGCAGGTGTGTCTCTTCTGCAGTTCGGACTTCACGTGTGCCAAAGCAACCCTGTCAGGGGTGGCGAAAACAAGGTCGTCAACGTAGACCAGAACAAAGAAAGGTGTGGGGCCACGACGAACGAACAGCGACGGGTCAGCAGAAGACGGCTGGAACCCAAGGTCAGACAGGGTAGAACGCAGGGTGTCGTGCCACTCACGAGGAGCCTGACGAAGACCGTAAACCGGTCGCCTCAGCCTCCACTGGGTCCCAGGAGGGAAAGAGCCAGTGAAGGCAGAGGGACGACGCAACCAGACCTCCTCGTGAAGACTGCCCTGAAGGAAAGCAGTAGAGAAGTCGAGAGAGTGTAACTCGTAGTCTCTCTGTGCTGCTACGTGTAGTAACACCCGAAGAGTGGTCATCTTCGGGGTGGGCGCGAAGGTCTGAAAGAAGTCAACTCCCTCGCGCTGACTGAAACCTCTAGCCACGTAGCGCGCCTTGAAGACCGGAGGAGATCCCGGTGGCCGCTTCACCCTGTAGATCCACATGCCGTCGACTACGTTCGCCCCCGGAGGGGGAACCTCATCGACGTAGGTGCCTGTGGATCTGTAGGAGGCCATCTCTGCGTCCATGGCAGCTCTCCACTGAGAGGCCCAAGGCCCTGACACTGCCTCAGCGTAAGTGCGAGGAGTCGGAATGTCAAGGGCGTCGGGGTCACCCTCAGGGGCGAGGAGCATGGCACAGAGATGAGGGGAAGCGGCCGCCAGGAACTCTAGCTCAAACTGCCTGTCCTCTAGGGCGTCACTGCCAAGGGCAGACACACCCCCGACGGCCAGAGGACTGGAAGGAGGAGCAGCCACAAGAGCGGTGGCGAAGTCAAGGCGGCGGGTAGAGGCAAACTCAGTGACTGCGGCAGTAAGAGCGGACACAGAGGACACAGAGGCACGAGGGTGGGTAACAAGAGAGGCGAGAACACGAGAGAGAACAGGACGGTACGTGCGGTAGTAGTCAGTGACAGGAGAAGGAAGCGACACAGTGAGGGCCGACTCAGGAGGAGACGGAAGCACAGACGGAGACGGACGAGGTGGACGAGAACAAAGGAAGGCTGTACGAAGGTCAGTGAAGGGAACAGGAGACGAGGGACGAGCACGAGGGGAGCGACGAGAGGCCCAAGTCTGAGAAGGAGGAGGAGACAACGAAGACTGAGGACGAGGGAAAACAGCGGGAGAGGGGTCAGGAGGAGGAAGCGGAGGACCAGAGACGGGAGGAGAGGGGGAGGAGGAAGGAGAGGGAGACGGGAGACCAAGGGTCCGAAGACCCGAGACAGGAGGAGGAGACGGCAGCAGCTGCTGCTGCTGCTGCTGCTGCGGCTGCTGCGGCTGCTGCTGCTCCAGCGGCTGCTGCCTCTGCTGCTGCTCCTGCTGCTGTCGCTCCTGCTCCTCGAGCCGCTGCAACTCTCTCTCCTCTCTCTCCAACTCCAGCTGCTCCTCACGAGCACGGCGAACACGAGCCTGGAACCTGGTCGGGTAGGGGTGGGGGGAAGGAGTAGTGTCCGGGGCAGCCCCAGAGTCGACCTCCGAAGCACCAAGCACACCACCCCCAGAGGCAGCACCAACACCAGCTCCAGACCCAGGCTCTCCAGAAACCGAAGGGACACCCTCACCCCCAGACGCAGCACCCCCAGACTCCGCACCAGCACCCCCAGACTCCGCACGACCAGTACCAGCCCCCGGAAGACAAGAGTCCTCTGCAACCCGCGGCTCAGCTCCAACTCCAGCACCCCCAGAACTAGAGACCTGTACAGGGACAGTCGCAGGACCAACCTCTCGAGAGGGAGCACCTGCAGGAGGCGGCGAGGAAGACTGTGGGGAGGGAGGCTGTACAGGGGGGGCTACCGAAGGGGGAGGGCTAGCCTGAGACACACCAGACGGGGCTGGACCAGGGGGGGGAGGCTGTACCGGGAGAGCAAGAGGGGGAGCGGCGGTCAGGAAGAGAGGGGGGGGAGGGACCGGGAGACCTCGACTGGGGTACCTGACGTAGTAGGGGGTGGACTCCTCGAAACGGACGTCACGGGAGTCAAAGAACCGGTGAGAGGGAGGGTGGTAAAAGGTGAAGTCAGAGGAGTCCTCAGGGAAACCAAGGAAGACACAAGGAACGGCGCGAGGCGAGAGCTTGTCCGCGGAGGTGTCGCGGACAAGAGCCAAGCACCCCCAGACACGAAACCTCGACGCGACACCAGGGGACCCTGTCCAAAGACTGGTCGGTGAAGCCTCCGGCCGAGAGACGCGTGGCCAGAGGTTCAGCTGGTGCGCGGCGTACCTGACCGCGTATGGCCACAGGAAATGGGGGGCACGGGCGTGAGTCAAGGAGGTGCGGGCAATCTCCATGACCAGGCCTATGCGACGCTCAGCAACCCCATTCTGCTGTGGGGACTCCGGAAGCGTCCAGGACTGACGAATGCCCTGTTCGCGACAGAATCCAGCGAGAATGCCGGAGCGAAACTCGCCCCCGCGGTCGGAGTGGAGACAGCTGACACGACGACCACGAGTGTCCTGGGTGGTAAGCAACCACCTGATCAGCGTAGAAGTCACCTCAGACTTCCTCGCCAGGGGGAACACTGTGGTGTAGCGGGAGTAGTCGTCAACGACCACCAAAAAGAAACGCTCACGCTCAGGGCCAGGGCGAGGAGAGGGGCCCCAGACGTCCAAGTGCAGCGTCTCAAAAGGCTCGGTGGCCGGACGAAGGGAGGAGGAGTGAGGGGTGGCGCGCAGCCTACCCTCGACGCAAGGACCGCACGGTGGTGCAAGGGACGGCGGCAGCGACGGCAAGACACGCGGGAGACCTAAGACAAGACGCTGACGAGACATAGCGCGAAGACGAGGAGGAGAAGGGTGCCCCAGCCGGTGGTGCCACAAAACGGTGGGGTGGGCAAGCGACCGACAGGAGCACGACGCAGCGACCGGACTAGACGGAGGAACCTGACAAGACACAGCTACCTGGGGGGACGGAGCAACCTGGTGAGACGCGAGGACTCGAACGGGAGGCAAAACAGGGGCCGGGGGCAGGAGGGGCGGCTGTGGCTGCGGCTGCGGCTGCTGCCGCTGCTGCTGCTGCGGCTGCTGCTGCTGCTGCTGCTGCGGCTGCTGCTGCTGCTGCAGTCGCTGCTGAGCGCGCGGGCGAGTGTGAAGAGTGTAGAGACCGGAGCCCGGCTCAGCAGCAAAAGTGGCGAGGGGCTGGTAAGAGTCCCCGTCAACACACACCGCAGTCTCTCCAGAAGGCTCAAACCACACACCCACGTGCTGACTCACGAGGGGTCGCACGCCCACCAAGTTCCGGGAGAACGAGGGGACGTGAAACCCAGTGAGAGACCCAGAAGGAGCAGCCGGACACGGCAAGGTGGTAGTGTGACGCGCGGTGACTGGTCCCGAAGTGGGATCAGCCAGCGCCACAGAAACAGGCG